GGGAACATATAAAGGAAAAAACACAATAGTGTAATACAGTAAATACAGTGAATAGTGCGCTTAAATGGATGCACTCACAAGATGATGAAGATGAAAAAGCATTCATAGGGTGCCTCCCCAGAAAGCATAGGGGGCTAGTGGTTTCCCCTATCCGATGTAAAGCGACCAATGGAACACGGGACTCCAGGTAAGTAATAGTAGAAAAGCAATACTTTTATTTTCTTAAAAGGTGAACAAGCACCATAAGAATAAAGGTTTAAAAGTGCAGCAATAGGTCCAACGCGTTTCGTTCAAGACTAGAACTTCATCAGGGACCGCACAGTAAAAAAAATCACAGACAATATCATAGATTGTAAAATAACATCCTACTTTCCCCTTAACAGAATCTCTATATATAGGGCTAGTCCCAAAGTCCCATTGGTCCATAGTGTAGGAGTATCCAGTAGCCAGCCAATCATCTATCCAGGGGTATTGTCCTCCAGCTGATAGTGTTTGGGTAGTTTAAAAAGGGCGCGTTCAATGTGAAAGCCGAAACCGGAAGTGGATGTCTGCCTTCACTTCCGCGTTCCATTTGCGTTCCATATGCGTTCCAAACACGCTCCAAGTGCGTTCCAAATACATTTACTGCTCTTTTTCAACTAGAACAGCGAGGAGCCATCAATATAAGTGATCATCAAAAGGACAAAGCCCAAAAGTGTTAAATGCATTAAATGTAATTAATCTCTAAAAGAAGAAAAGTGAATTAATGCATGTAATATACAACAACCATGTTAAGATAGTTCATATGGAACTTCCCCACATATTATATATATGACAATATCATACACCATTAAATAGTGCCATGTATGTCTATTTAAAGTGACAAACATCTCATTATTCAAAAAATAAGAACACAAATAATATATTCCTAAAAAAAGTTCCCTCAATATCAATAATAATAATTTTAAACCATATAACCAGCAAGGTACACCTAACTATATAATATAAAGATTTTTTTTTTTTTTTTTTATATAAATTATGAATTGTATTGATTAAAGACACTTCTTTTTCCCTATATTTAGACTGCCAGAGCTCCTCATATTCCCAAAGATACTTATGGAATAATTTACATAGAGGAGAAGAATAACCAAAAAATCAATCCAAGAAACACACCAGATCGATCCCAATATTCAGGCCCCTAGGTTCAAGGGTCTTTAGTTTGTGTATCCAAAAGGTTTCCCTTTGGGATAAAAAGTTATTCTTCTCCTCTATGTAAATTATTCCATAAGTATCTTTGGGAATATGAGGAGCTCTGGCAGTCTAAATATAGGGAAAAAGAAGTGTCTTTAATCAATACAATTCATAATTTATATAAAAAAAAAAAAAAAAAAATCTTTATATTATATAGTTAGGTGTACCTTGCTGGTTATATGGTTTAAAATTATTATTATTGATATTGAGGGAACTTTTTTTAGGAATATATTATTTGTGTTCTTATTTTTTGAATAATGAGATGTTTGTCACTTTAAATAGACATACATGGCACTATTTAATGGTGTATGATATTGTCATATATATAATATGTGGGGAAGTTCCATATGAACTATCTTAACATGGTTGTTGTATATTACATGCATTAATTCACTTTTCTTCTTTTAGAGATTAATTACATTTAATGCATTTAACACTTTTGGGCTTTGTCCTTTTGATGATCACTTATATTGATGGCTCCTCGCTGTTCTAGTTGAAAAAGAGCAGTGAATGTATTTGGAACGCATTTGGAGCGTGTTTGGAACGCATATGGAACGCAAATGGAACGCGGAAGTGAAGGGAGACATCCTCATAACAGCTAGGCAGGGGCGATGCTCCTTGCGATGAGACTTCAAATGGAAGACTTGGACAACTGGGGTAGGATGAGTAACATCAGGGTGAGAGGCCCCAGATGGCTAGGACATGGAAGCACTACTTACCTCACTTTTCACATATGTTCTGAGTGCTAATAACCCACACAGATTTTAATGGGCACATATGTGGCATATTTCACTGAGGGCGTACCTGGGACATTATATGCTTCATGCACTCATTTCCTTTAAAGGACCAGATCATGGCTAAAGCACGGAGACCTCCAACCTGGGACTTTTAAGGTGCAGCAGTCTCCCATTTCACTGATCTCTCCCTGTTGACTCTCAAGGCTATGAGGGCTCTAAGGCCCAACACATCCGTACTGCAGGACAGACGTATCCAGTATAAGTGAGGGTACCCTGTTAATCTAAAGGCAAAGAATAGCAATAATCAGTGGATACAAAGGTGGTTGCCAGAAAAGGTGACTAAGTTCTTGATATGTGAGGGCCTACATTACATATCAGTGCAGGACTGGGTTCCTTAGATGCAAGGCCCCAGCCATTCGAATCTGATAGGCGTTGAAGAGGACAATCCCTGCTTGTCCCTCCGGGCTGACGGCACTCGGATCCAGTCCACCTAGAGGAATAATATAGCTTATTACGTGGAGTAACTGACCTTCCTGCTCTCAACGACCTCTTACTGTTACAACTATCTCATTCGAAATGTCAATAACAGGGCCTAGAGTGGGCTGATGGGAAATGTACATATGATTTGAATGTGCTAATTTTGCTCATGTCACCACATAAATATGGTTACATTCTCATTATTCACTTATTACTCTTATTTACACAGGGGCCTGTACGCCAGCTACAAACATGAATAATGGAATAATTTACATAGAGGAGAAGAATAACCAAAAAATCAATCCAAGAAACACACCAGATCGATCCCAATATTCAGGCCCCTAGGTTCAAGGGTCTTTAGTTTGTGTATCCAAAAGGTTTCCCTTTGGGATAAAAAGTTATTCTTCTCCTCTATGTAAATTATTCCATAAGTATCTTTGGGAATATGAGGAGCTCTGGCAGTCTAAATATAGGGAAAAAGAAGTGTCTTTAATCAATACAATTCATAATTTATATAAAAAAAAAAAAAAAAAATCTTTATATTATATAGTTAGGTGTACTTTGCTGGTTATATGGTTTAAAATTATTATTATTGATATTGAGGGAACTTTTTTTAGGAATATATTATTTGTGTTCTTATTTTTTGAATAATGAGATGTTTGTCACTTTAAATAGACATACATGGCACTATTTAATGGTGTATGATATTGTCATATATATAATATGTGGGGAAGTTCCATATGAACTATCTTAACATGGTTGTTGTATATTACATGCATTAATTCACTTTTCTTCTTTTAGAGATTAATTACATTTAATGCATTTAACACTTTTGGGCTTTGTCCTTTTGATGATCACTTATATTGATGGCTCCTCGCTGTTCTAGTTGAAAAAGAGCAGTGAATGTATTTGGAACGCATTTGGAGCGTGTTTGGAACGCATATGGAACGCAAATTGAACGCGGAAGTGAAGGCAGACATCCACTTCCGGTTTCGGCTTTCACATTGAACGCGCCCTTTTTAAACTACCCAAACACTATCAGCTGGAGGACAATACCCCTGGATAGATGATTGGCTGGCTACTGGATACTCCTACACTATGGACCAATGGGACTTTGGGACTAGCCCTATATATAGAGATTCTGTTAAGGGGAAAGTAGGATGTTATTTTACAATCTATGATATTGTCTGTGATTTTTTTACTGTGCGGTCCCTGATGAAGTTCTAGTCTTGAACGAAACGCGTTGGACCTATTGCTGCACTTTTAAACCTTTATTCTTATGGTGCTTGTTCACCTTTTAAGAAAATAAAAGTATTGCTTTTCTACTATTACTTACCTGGAGTCCCGTGTTCCATTGGTCACTTTACATCGGATAGGGGAAACCACTAGCCCCCTATGCTTTCTGGGGAGGCACCCTATGAATGCTTTTTCATCTTCATCATCTTGTGAGTGCATCCATTTAAGCGCACTATTCACTGTATTTACTGTATTACACTATTGTGTTTTTTCCTTTATATGTTCCCTCTATAGATTGTACAGCCGTATCCCATTTCTGTCTGGGGTTCTATGCATATGTTACGATCGTTTGTTGTGGATAACGATCCTGGGAGGCTGCATATTGATTGAAGTTAAGTAATTTATTTAATTAGAACACTTATTTAAAGGTGTTCGTTTGTTTGTTTTCTGTTTTTTATCCATTACTTCTTTGGGTGCACATATTTGCTATTGATTGTATTGATTATGGCTACAAATGTGAGCTTTTTGTCCAACTTACAGAATAGCCGTAGGAGAAGGTTTGAGGCTATGTTTCAAGAGTGGGACAAGCCACAACCTCTTAAAGGGCTAGATGAGTTTTTTAAGAAAAAAGAGAGGTTATTAACTGCTGAAACAAAAAAATGGTGGGAGATAGCCTATTTGGAAAATTATCTCAAGGAAGGCTTAATCCCACGTGGTCTCAGAATAGATAAAATACCGGCATTCGGATTGGAGGATGATCTCTTCTTACAAGAATGGGATGAAATCCTTACTAATTGCTCTTTTCAGCTAATACAACTTATAATTAGACACTCTAAAGAATCACAGAGTAAATTGGAAGCTGAATTAATCGAACTTGACTCCAATCCTCCCATTAATACAGAGGGAAGGGATTTTAAGGAGAGGGATGAAATTCTACAAACAAATATTAAAAAACTTGATGAGAATATTGCTGAAACAAAGAATAGGAAGTATAGCAGGGATAAAGAGGACAAATTAACTAATAGTTTTTCCACTCTTAATAAATTAATAAGAAAAAAATCTCGCTATGTTCCTTTTAAGAAAATGATTCCAAGAACACCGAATAGAACAAGGAGTAACTCAAGATCTAGAATTAACTATAGGGCTAATTTTGCACCTAAGGATGGTAGATCTACTTACCACCCTAGAACTTGGAATAGACAGAGACCCACCCCCCCTAAAAGACCTACGCCAGAGAGGGAGGGGAATGTAAGATCCCGTACTCAGACCACATATAATCAAACGGATACGTTTAGGGCTCCTACACAATTCAATGAACAGGAGATAAATTTTCAAGGGAGACACAGGGGCCCGAAAGAAAAATTCATTACCAACTATTTTCGTCCGAGAACCGATACTTGGGAACATCCCAACAGGTTCACCCCTTTATACCAAGATTCACCACACAAGAGGGTGAGAACAGAGGACTAGATCAGAGTCTTAGTCCTGCCACCCTTACCAATGAGGAGGAAAGGAGTAGAGGTATTTTTAATTTAACTGGAATTCCACTTACATCTGAGGAGATAGACCTACTCTCGAAAGGGATGAAATTTGCCCCTAATAAAAAGGCGAATGACTTTGACCTTTATATAGATCTTAAAAAGTTTATACGCTCTCTAACCATAAAAAGACATTTCCTCCAACATCCTTCTACCACTGAGAGGGAAATAGATACTGTATCTGAAAGGGAAGACTATAGGTTTCAACCTAAATCTCATTTTTTTCCGGTTCAAAGTAAGGGCCCCTTCTTAGAAACTTTTGAACATATGGTTGATCAGGCTTTCCAATCTATTGCTAAAAAGAGAAAAAGTGGATCATGCCCCTTTAATCTAACAAAAAGGGAAGAAACGACTTTAAAACATCTTATGGAAAGAGAGGACCTGGTGATCAGGGAGGCTGATAAGGGAGGAGGTATTGTGTTGATGACTATGTCTTATTATTTGAAGGAATCCCTTAATATTTTAGGGGATAAAAAAACTTATATTACTCTGCAGAATAACCCTATGCCGTTGTATAATTTAGAACTAAAATAAATTTTGACTACGGCTAGAGACAATGGAATCATATCTTTAAAAAACTTTGATTTCTTATTTCAAAAAAGTCCAGTGATTCCGATTTTTTATTTCCTCCCAAAAACTCATAAACGCCTCCCTGATCCACCAGGTCGCCCTATTATCAGTGGAGTTAATTCGCTCACTGCTAATCTGTCCGCGTATGTGGACTCTTTCCTTCAAAAGTACGCCCAAGGGGCACCCTCCTTTATACGGGATACCAAGTCTTTTTTACAAGAACTGGACAGCATTGAGTGGGACCCTGAATACAGTTGGGCCACGCTAGACGTGACCTCTCTGTATACGGTAATTAGTCATTGTTTAGGATTGGAGTCTCTTGATTACTATATGTCCCAAGATCAGGACCTATCTCAAGGTCAAAAGGAATTTATATTGACCTCAGTAAAATTTATTTTGGAACATAATTTCTTCTTTTTTAATGATCAGTATTATCTACAGATCACAGGGACCGCCATGGGCACCAGGTTCGCCCCCAGTTATGCCAACACCTACATGCGTAGATGGGAGGAATTATTCGTGTGGTCGCGGCATGACTGGAGGGAGAACTTGGTGCTCTGGCGGCGCTATATCGATGACGTGATCATCATTTGGAAGGGGTCCTCCAATAGTTTTTCTGATTATGTTCAATATTTAAATTCCAACCTATACAATCTTGTCTTCACCCCTGAGTGGAATAAACATGAGATCCATTTTTTGGATCTTGATATTTTTTGTGATCAGGGTCAAATTCAAACTAAATGTTTTTTTAAACCAACAGATGGGAATGGCTTTGTACATCAACAAAGCTGTCACCATAAGCCTTGGCTTAGGGGCATAGCACGGAGCCAATTTACCAGACTGAGACGCAATTGTTCTCGCCCTCAAGACTTCCAGATTCAATCTTCCCATATAAAAAATAAATTATGTGCAAGGGGCTATAATAAGAATACGTTAGAAAAAGAAATTCGATCAATTGGTCTCCTTGAACGGAACAAACTCCTGGAGGATAAACCTCCTAATACTGTTGGGAATAAGAATTTTAAATCAGCCTTTGTCACCCAATACAATACGGATCATTTTAAGATCAAAAGGAGCCTAAGTGATTTTTGGCCCATATTACAACAGGATCCCATTTTGGGTAATTCTTTGTCTGAACGCCCGATGGTGATATTTAAGAAAAATAAGAACTTTAAAAATATGCTAGCCCCTAGCTATGCTATTAAAATGAATAGTTCTAATGTATCCCCTGAATCGGGTTGTTTTAGGGGATGTAATGTGTGCAAAGCATGTACCACCGCCTCTATGGGGAGAACTAAGGAATTTATTAGTCATATCACGGGGGAGGCTTTCAAGATTAAATCATTAATAGGTTGCCACACGGACTATGTAGTATACTTACTGCAGTGTCCGTGTGGCAAACAGTATGTGGGACGCACGAAACGTATCCTGAAGGTCAGGATCTTGGAACACCTAAATAATATACGTAAAGGACTGGTTACTCATTCAGTCTCTGCCCATTGCAGTAATTGTCCATCCTTCTCCTTTAGAGATTTTAAGTGTATGGGTATCGAACATGTCCTTCCCTACTGGCGGGGAGGTGATAGGATTAAAAAGTTATCCCAAAGGGAAACCTTTTGGATACACAAACTAAAGACCCTTGAACCTAGGGGCCTGAATATTGGGATCGATCTGGTGTGTTTCTTGGATTGATTTTTTGGTTATTCTTCTCCTCTATGTAAATTATTCCATAAGTATCTTTGGGAATATGAGGAGCTCTGGCAGTCTAAATATAGGGAAAAAGAAGTGTCTTTAATCAATACAATTCATAATTTATATAAAAAAAAAAAAAAAAAATCTTTATATTATATAGTTAGGTGTACCTTGCTGGTTATATGGTTTAAAATTATTATTATTGATATTGAGGGAACTTTTTTTAGGAATATATTATTTGTGTTCTTATTTTTTGAATAATGAGATGTTTGTCACTTTAAATAGACATACATGGCACTATTTAATGGTGTATGATATTGTCATATATATAATATGTGGGGAAGTTCCATATGAACTATCTTAACATGGTTGTTGTATATTACATGCATTAATTCACTTTTCTTCTTTTAGAGATTAATTACATTTAATGCATTTAACACTTTTGGGCTTTGTCCTTTTGATGATCACTTATATTGATGGCTCCTCGCTGTTCTAGTTGAAAAAGAGCAGTGAATGTATTTGGAACGCATTTGGAGCGTGTTTGGAACGCATATGGAACGCAAATTGAACGCGGAAGTGAAGGCAGACATCCACTTCCGGTTTCGGCTTTCACATTGAACGCGCCCTTTTTAAACTACCCAAACACTATCAGCTGGAGGACAATACCCCTGGATAGATGATTGGCTGGCTACTGGATACTCCTACACTATGGACCAATGGGACTTTGGGACTAGCCCTATATATAGAGATTCTGTTAAGGGGAAAGTAGGATGTTATTTTACAATCTATGATATTGTCTGTGATTTTTTTACTGTGCGGTCCCTGATGAAGTTCTAGTCTTGAACGAAACGCGTTGGACCTATTGCTGCACTTTTAAACCTTTATTCTTATGGTGCTTGTTCACCTTTTAAGAAAATAAAAGTATTGCTTTTCTACTATTACTTACCTGGAGTCCCGTGTTCCATTGGTCGCTTTACATCGGATAGGGGAAACCACTAGCCCCCTATGCTTTCTGGGGAGGCACCCTATGAATGCTTTTTCATCTTCATCATCTTGTGAGTGCATCCATTTAAGCGCACTATTCACTGTATTTACTGTATTACACTATTGTGTTTTTTCCTTTATATGTTCCCTCTATAGATTGTACAGCCGTATCCCATTTCTGTCTGGGGTTCTATGCATATGTTAAGATCGTTTGTTGTGGATAACGATCCTGGGAGGCTGCATATTGATTGAAGTTAAGTAATTTATTTAATTAGAACACTTATTTAAAGGTGTTCATTTGTTTGTTTAGCTGTTATGAGATCTGCATCGGAGAGCTGGTGAGAGTATTGCTGGGTAGTGTCCTCGAAGGCCCTCCAGTGCCATCGCCTCTCTCCTCAGGGTGGCCATCTGTGACCTAATTGTCACATGGAGCTCATCAGAAAGCTGAGGCCAGGTCTGCCTTGTGGCTATGGTGGCTGTCAGGATGGGAATATCTGCACTTATCTGTGCTAAAGTGGTAGGTTCTTCTTGAATTGCAGGAGGTAAGGGTCAGGTACTATATTTCACCTAGGGCCCTCGCCTCTGGATCCTGTAAATACCCGTCCATCGGGCAGGATTGGGAGCTCAACATTTAAATATACATAGGGCTAACTTTATACCCTGGCAGGAGAGGGGGACAGTGATTGTTTTATATACATAAGACTAGCTGTATCCTGTCAGTAGAGCGGTCACTAGTTGTTTTATATACACAGGGGAAGCTTTATCCTGGCAGGAGAGGGGGACACAAATTGTTTTATATACACAGGGGAAGCTTTATCCTGGCAGGAGTGGGGCAGTGATTGTTTTATATACACAGGGGAAGTTTATCCTGGCAGGAGAGGGGGGCAGTGATTGTTTTATATACATAGGGGAAGTTTATCCTGGCAGGAGAGGCGGGCAGTGATTGTTTTATATACACAGGGGAAGCTTTATCCTGGCAGGAGAGGGGGGCAGTGATTGTTTTATATACATAGGGGAAGTTTATCCTGGCAGGAGAGGGGAGCAGTGATTGTTTTATATACACAGGGGAAGCTTTATCCTGGCAGGAAAGGGGGGCAGTGATTGTTTTATATACATAGGGGAAATTTATCCTGGCAGGAAAGGGGGGCAGTGATTTTTTATATACACAGTGGAAGCTTTATCCTGGCAGGAGAGGGGGTCAGTGATTGTTTTATATACACAGGGGAAGCTTTATCTTGGCAGGAGAGGGAGGCAGTGATTGTTTTATATACATAGGGGAAGCTTTATCCTGGCAGGAGAGGGGGGCAGTGATTGTTTTATTTACACAGTGGAAATTTTGTCTTGGCAGGAGAGGGGGGCAGTGATTGTTTTATATACACAGGGGAAGCTTTATCCTGGCAGGAGAGGGGGCATTGATTGTTTTATATACAGAGGGGAAGTTTATCCTGGCAGGAGGGGGGCAGTGATTGTTTTATATACAGAGGGGAAGTTTATCCTAGCAGGAGAGGGGGCAGTGATTGTTTTATATACACAGGAGAAGTTTATCCTGGCAGGAGAGGGGGGCAGTGATTGTTTTATATACAGAGTGGAAGTTTATCCTGGCAGGAGAGGGGGGCAGTGATTGTTTTATATACACAGGGGAAGCTTTATCCTGGCAGGAGAGAGGGGCAGTGATTGCTTTATATACATAGGGGAAGTTTATCCTGGCAGGAGAGGGGGGCAGTGATTGTTTTATATACACAGGGGAAGCTTTATCCTGGCAGGAGAGGGGGGCAGTGATTGTTTTATATACATAGGGGAAGGTTATCCTGGCAGAGGGGAGCAGTGATTGTTTTATATACACAGGGGAAGCTTTATCCTGGCAGGAGAGGGGGGCAGTGATTGTTTTATATACATGGGGGAAGCTTTATCCTGGCAGGAGAGGGGGGCAGTGATTGTTTTATTTACACAGGGGAAATTTTGTCTTGGCAGGAGAGGGGGGCAGTGATTGTTTTATATACACAGGGGAAGCTTTATCCTGGCAGGAGAGGGGGCATTGATTGTTTTATATACAGAGGGGAAGTTTATCCAGCAGGAGTGGGGGGGGCAGGATTGTTTTATATACAGAGGGGAAGTTTTATCCTGGCAGGAGAGGGGGGCAGTGATTGGTTTTATATACACAGGAGAAGTTTATCCCAAGAAAGAGGGGGGGCAGTGGATTGTTTTATACAGAGGGGGAAGTTTATCCTGGCAGGAGAGGGGGCAGCACGTTTATATACACAGGGAAGCTTTATCTTGGCAGGAGAGGGGGGCAGCATTGTTTTATATACACAGGGGAAGCCGAACCTGGCAGGAGAGGGGGGGCAGGATTGTTTTATATACATAGGGGAAGTTTATCCTGGCAGGAGAGGGGGCAGGATTGTTTCATATACACAGGGGGGAAGCTTTATCCCAGCAGGGAGGGGGGCAGTGATTGTTTTATATACATAGGGGAAGTTTATCCTGGCAGGAGAGGGGGGCAGTGATTGTTTTATATACATAGGGGAAGTTTATCCTGGCAGGAGAGGGGGCAGTGATTGTTTTATTTACACAGGGGAAGCTTTATCCTGGCAGGGGAGGGGGGCAGTGATTGTTTTATATACATAGGGGAAGTTTATCCTGGCAGGAGAGGGGGGCAGTGATTGTTTTATATACACAGGGGAAGCTTTATCCTAGCAGGGAGGGGGCAGTGATTGTTTTATATACATAGGGGAAGTTTATCCTGGCAGGAGAGGGGGGCAGTGATTGTTTTATATACATAGGGGAAATTTATCCTGGCAGGAGAGGGGGGCAGTGATTTCTTATATACACAGGGGAAGCTTTATCCTGGCAGGAGAGGGGGGCCGTGATTGTTTTATATACACAGGGGAAGCTTTATCTTGGCAGGAGAGGGGGGCAGTGATTGTTTTATATACATAGGGGAAGCTTTATCCTGGCAGGAGAGGGGGGCAGTGATTGTTTTATATACACAGGGGAAGCTTTATCCTGGCAGGAGAGGGGGACACAAATTGTTTTATATACAGAGGGGAAGTTTATCCTGCCAGGAGAGGGGGGCAGTGATTGTTTTATATACACAGGAGAAGTTTATCCTGGCAGGAGAGGGGGGCAGTGATTGTTTTATATACAGAGGGGAAGTTTATCCTGGCAGGAGAGGGGGGCAGTGATTGTTTTATATACACAGGGGAAGCTTTATCCTTGCAGGAGAGAAGGGCAGTGATTGCTTTATATACATAGGGGAAGCAGGGCCGTCTTTAATATTGATTGTACCCTGGGCAAGCATCTGTTTGGGCCCCCTGGGCATGCAATCACTCCCTCCACCCCAACCTAGAGGCGAAACTAATGTAGAGTGTGCCTTGGTGCAACAAAAAAAAAATTCAGGCCTGCCCTGTAGCACAAGAGTAAAGAAAAGATAGATCCCCATCTGTCATACAACTCCTGCGATGCTATGCCAGCTGGGGATCTACTATCCTTGCAGGGTTGTATTTTTGAGCAGTGTTTGTGCAAATGAATGTCAGCATGTTATTGTATAGAGTGTATGTGTGCATGTAGGAGTGTATTTGTATGTACTGTTACCATTGGAATGCAGTGGTGTACTTGTGTGTAGTGTTTGCATTTTAATGCAGGGATGTGTGATTGTTTGTAGTGTTGGCTTTTAAATGCAGGTGTACATTTGTGTGTAGTATTAGTGTTTCAGCAAACTGGTGTGTTTGTAATGTTTGTGTTTGCAGAGGTCTGTTTGCATGTTGTGTGATTTCTATAACACATATACACATACACATTAACACGCAGATACACACATGCTCACACTGACACATGCTCACACCTTGACACATACTGGCACATACACACACACACACACACACTCAGATACACACCCTTTGACACACAGATACAAGCACTTTGATATACACACACTGGCACATACACATACACACACACACTGACACAGGTATATACACACACACACTGACACAGGTATATACACACACACTCAGATACACACATACATAAAGGTATAAATGCAGGGGTGTATATGTGTACAGTGCTAGAGATGGAATGTAGGAGTGTATTTGTGTTGGCATTAAAATGCTGGGATGTATGCATTACCACACACTCAGATGCACACTTACACACACACACACACACACACACACACACCGGTGCACATACAGGTGTATGAGGTATACATACACACAGAAACAATGACACACAGACAAACACAGTCAGATACACACAAGGACATAAACACAGCCAGATACACACATATATATGTGTACATTTACATATTTTAATCTCTGCCTTCTAGCAGCTCTTGGACAGCAACTCCCAGCAACCTTGGCCAATATAATGTCTCAACTCTGTTCTTACATACCCTGGTCCAGAATTTGGCAAAAGTGACATTTGAAAATGGTGTACAGCCTTTGATAACACTTGATGCAATATGTTAAAATAAATACTTTTTAAATTTATATTTAATAGGGAACTGTCAGGTTCTTCTAGGATTTTTAACATGTACTTATTCTCTGTGTGTTACATTACAAACACCAACACACTTAAATAAAAGTGATATCAGAAATTAGCAAAACAAAAAACAAAACATATTTAGCCACCCTCCTGTCTCCTTACCTTTTGGGTACAGAAAGGTGGCTTCCCTGGTGTCCAGTGAGAGATTGTTGGCCCAGGCTGATGGGAGTCTGCCATCAGCTTTCTCAGTCCCTCTCCCCCACAATGCTTGCATCCTCCTCCATATGGTGTGTGCCTCTTCCCCAGCGGCACTGAGGAGGAAGTTATCAGTTCTTACTGGGAGCTAGCAATCTGACCTCACTTCCTCCCAGCATGCCCAGGAAACAAAGAGACTCACAGGGCAGTATGTGAGGGGGCTAGCTGTGAGTATGTAGTCAGCCACCCCCCCATATAACAGGGGCCCGGGCCGGTATTAAAGGGCTGTGGCCCCTGATTACCGCAGGTGCCGCAGTGGGCCCATGGGGCAGCTGCCTTAGGGCCCCCAGGAGTAACTGGGCCCGGGGCAGCTGCCCCTTTTGCCCCTCCTTAAAGACGGCCCTGAGGGGAAGTTTATCCTGGCAGGAGAGGGGGGCAGTGATTGTTTTATATACACAGGGGAAGCTTTATCCTGGCAGGAGAGGGGGGCAGTGATTGTTTTATATACAGAGGGGAAGCTTTATCTTGGCAGGAGAGGGGGCAGTGATTGTTTTATATACACAGGGGAAGCTTTATCCTGGCAGGAGAGGGGGGCAGTGATTGTTTTATATACACAGGGGAAGCTTTATCTTGGCAGGAGAGGGAGGCAGTGATTGTTTTATATACATAGGGGAAGCTTTATCCTGGCAGGAGAGGGGGGCAGTGATTGTTTTATTTACACAGTGGAAATTTTGTCTTGGCAGGAGAGGGGGGCAGTGATTGTTTTATATACACAGGGAAGCTTTATCCTGGCAGGAGAGGGGGCATTGATTGTTTTATATACAGAGGGGAAGCTATCCTGGCAGGAGGGGGGCAGTGATTGTTTTATATACAGAGGGAAGTTTATCCTGGCAGGAGAGGGGGGCAGTGATTGTTTTATATACACAGGGGAAGCTTTATCCTTGCAGGAGAGAGGGCAGTGATTGCTTTATATACACACAGGGAAGCTTTATCTTGGCAGGAGAGGGGCAGGATTGTTTTATATACACAGGGGAAGCTTTATCCTGGCAGGAGAGGGGGCAGTGATTGTTTTATATACATAGGGGAAGTTTATCCTGGCAGGAGAGGGGAGCAGTGATTGTTTTATATACACAGGGGAAGCTTTATCCTGGCAGGAAAGGGGGGCAGTGATTGTTTTATATACATGGGGGAAGCTTTATCCTGGCAGGAGAGGGGGGCAGTGATTGTTTTATATACACAGGGGAAGCTTTATCCTGGCAGGAGAGGGGCAGTTTTATTACAGACACCTATTGTTTCCAGGCAGGTACATTGCTTGTTTTGTATACACATGGTCAACTTTATCCCGCCAGAAGAGGAGGGCACCGTGGAGTCTATACACTGCAGAACCTGCTATCAACTTCCACATAAAACCCCAACTTTCCGCCATTAAAGCCCGCTAATCAGCCAAGCATTATACCCTCCTTGCCGCAGGGGGGCGCTCCCCGGGCACAATTGCAGGGTGAGCTCACTCCCCGCTATAATAACACCATACACGGCGCCCGCTTCCTTCTCTGCTTAAAGAACGCATTCACAGACATTTTGGTCCCCGTAGGACACCGTAATCTTTATAGCTGACGTCACATTATACAGCCGGAAGCTGTGAGGATTCTCCCCTCCTCCAAATCATAAATGATAGCACACCGGTATGTCTTTTCAAAAAACCGATTATTGTAAATCAGTAAAGTTTGAAAATTGAAAAAAATATTTTTTTTAAAAAAACCCAACAGCTGCGGGCGAGATCGTGCGGGCGCGCGCTTATTACCCAGCCTGGTCCATGGTCTGACGTCAGAGGCGCGTGTCGCAGGTGAGTGAGCGTGACGGCTATAAAAGCCGAGAGACTGCGGAGCAGCCCGCATTGACCTGTGAGTAACCCGGGCAGGAGGGAGCTCATTGCGTGTGTCCCGGGATACAGCATGAGCCATGTTATACAATGAGATATTACAGCCAGAACAAGTCCCAGTCTGCCATACAGTAATATCCCATAAACAGGGCTATTCACTAAACTGAGAATTCAAATGTCAGGTCGCAATAGCCTAAACTGAAACATTCTCAAACACCTCTCTGCTTCCAATTCGGCCGAAATGGCCTTACATTTGAAATTCACTTTCAATTCTCACTCGAGTCAATAATCATCACAGAGAGTGTGTCAGGTGCTATCGTCTGTGATACTGTTGATGTTTTGGGGATCAGTTCTTTCTTATGGGCTTAATGTGAGGTGCAGGTTATCAGGGCTCTTTAATAACGGGAGACACATATAAGGTCCGTCTAGCTGAAATGAAAGCATAGCTGTCAGAGATTGTTTCCAGTGTGTAGATTTTGACCTTCAATTCACTCTGAATTCTCACTTTAGTAAATAATGTTAGGTATATTATGTGTGGGGGTAGGCAGCCTTTTCCTAGTCTTTGAGTATTTTGGTCGCCTGTGATGTGCTGTTGTAATGAAACAAGGAGCTTCCGTTAGCTCCACTTAGCCCTGCGTACACTTTCAGGCAATGAGCACCTTCCTGTAACGCCAAGCTTACAGCAGCGCAGGAGCATTTGGCAGAAAAGAAGGTAGATGCCACCCAGCTGACTCCAGGTATGTTGCCCAATCATTCCAACCTGCAGCAGATTTTAGTGGTTATAGTACTTGGAGTGCTCTTTTAATATTTGTGTATATTAATGCTGCATTGTGGAGATGCATGCGGAAAATCTGAGAATGGAGGCAGTGGTGGAAAGGGAGCTGTAATCTCCATACTCTTCCCGCACTGCTCACTTGTGCTCACTGCAATGATTCCGGGATCCAGGTTGACATCGCTCCAACCTCCGCATCACTACACAGCATGTGAGAGAGCAGTGCTGGAAGAGTACATAGATTACACGGTCCTTATTGGATACTCAGGAAAGGGATCTCTTCTGGACCACAGGGAAAGGATCCACTCCAGCCGCCCCCAAAGGTAGGAATGCTGTGTGGACTTAACCCCTTAAGGACGGAGCCAAATGTACACATTGTGAACAAAACAAAATGTAAACAAAACCTGGCATTTGCGCTACATGTCTGTCCAACCGTAATACACCTCTTTCATAGTAAATGCACCCACCCTTATTATATATAATTTTATTCAGGGGAAACAGGGCTTTCATTTAATATCAAATATTTAGCTATGAAACATAATTTAATATGAAAAAAATGGGAGAAAATACGATTTTTTTTTGATTTTTTTTAGTTCTAAATTGCATTTTAAAGGTCAGTGTCATAATACTGTTTGATTTTACTGCAATAAAATACACATATTTGTATTTAGTAAAGTCTCACGTGTAAGACAGTACCCCCTATGTACAGGTTTTATGGCGTTTTGGGAAGTTACAGGGTCAAATATAGCACGTTACATTTGAAATTGAAATTTGCCAGATTGGTTACGTTGCCTTTGAGACTGTATAGTAACCCAGGAATGAAATTTACACCCATAATGGCATACCATTTGCAATAGTAGACAACCCAAGGTATTGCAAATGGGGTATGTCCAGTCTTTTAGTAGCCATTTGGTCACAAACACTGGCCAAAGTTAGCGTTAGTATTTGTTTGTGTGAAAAATGCAAAAAAAACGCCAATTTTGGCCAGTGTTTGTGACTAAGTGGCTACTAAAAAAGACTGGACATACCCTGTTTGCAATACCTTGGGTTGTCTACTATTGCAAATGGTATACCATCATAGGGGTAATTTTCATTCTTGGGCTACCATAGGGTCTCAAAGGCACCGTAACCAATCTGGCGAATTTTAATTTGAAAAAAATGAAACGCAAGCCTTATATTTGACGCTGTAACTTTTGAAAACACCATAAAACCTGTACATGAGGGGTACTGTTGTACTCGGGAGACTTCGCTGAACACAAATATTTGTGTTTCAAAACAGTAAAAAGTATCACAACAATAATATCGTCCGTGTAAGTACTGTTTGTGTGTGAAAAATGCAAAAAACTTCACTTTTACTGGCGATATCATCGTTGTAATACATTTTACTATTTTGAAACACTAATATTTGTGTTCAGCGAAGTCCCCCGAGTAGAACAGTACCCCCCATGTACAGGTTTTATGGTGTCTTGGAAAGTTATAGGGTTAAATATAGTGCAAGCAAATTAAATTCCCTTTACTTTCGGCATGGGTTGTCAGGCAGGTCCTGCTAATTGTAATTAATTAAGATACCTAATTATGTAAAAATATTACATAAATATATATGTAGAATTAATATATGTATATATATACGTATGTATATATATGTATATATCTATATAATTTTTTAAAAATATTTTTATTTATATATAGGTATATATATAGTGATATATACGTATATATTTATGTATATAGATATATATATTATTTCGTTCTACGTGTATTTTGATATATATATATATATATATATTAATTTCACAATACAGTTAGAACGAAATAACACATCTATATATTTTTTAATTATTTATTTTTAATTATTTTTTTAATTTTATTTTTTAACGTATTTACATTTTTATTTTTTTATATTATATATAAATATATATATATAACAATAATTATATATATATTTAATCAGTATCAGTCTACGTGTAATTTGATATTAATATATATATATATAATTATATATATATTAATAGTAAAATACACCTAGACGGTGTATGTGTGTTTATGTATATGTGTATATATATATATACTTAGATCATATATATATAGTATATATATATGATCTAAGTATATATAATAATTTTTTTTTACACCATTAACTTTTTTTATTTTATTTTCAGCCAGCAGGGGGACCACCTGCCATTACAGGCAGCCCCCCTGCCGGCAATACAGAAGCCAGCTATCCCCGGCCATGTGATTGTGGGGTCCTCGCTAGGACCCCACTCTCACATGGCCGGGGGGCTTCGACGAGGACGGATGTGCCGCGGGGGGCTCCCTGGGAGTCCCCCCAACCGCTATCGCCGGCGTGGGACCGCCGGCGACCGGGTAAGTTAACAAAAACCGGAGGGCGTACAATTATGCCCGGCGGCGTTTAGAGCCGCCTATTAGAGGGCGTAATTGTACGTCCTCCGGTTTTAAGGGGTTAAAGGGACATTAGTCACCAGAACAATTACAAAGAAAAAGCAGTATTTACATTACTGCCTAGGAACACCTCAGATGGCCACTAGAGGTACTTCCTGGGTCAGTACTGACGTTCAGAGTCTCCATGCTGTACATAGAGGTGCTGAATGTGCCTCATAGAGATGCATTGATTCAGGGTTCGACAAATCAGGGATTTGTCAGCCCTTTCAGTGGCGAGGGAGAATGGAGCCGGTCAGCTGAGGGGTTGTGTAGCCAAGGGGGCAAGCCGAAATCTTCTGGCTCTTCCTGCTCTGCGCCGTCACATGTCCTGCTGTGATGTCAGGAGCCAGATTTTGACATCACTCCGGCCTCTGCATCACTAAACGTGTGTAAGAGTGCAGAGGAATTAGAGTTTGACGATTTCGGCAGCCACACTGGGCCCCAGGGAAAGGAGTCACTCCAGCTCTCCCAAAGGTATGGAGGCTGGGTGAATGTAAATTAAAATGTATTTTTGAGAGATTGTGTCTCTCGGTGAGTGTGTGTGTGTCTGTTGGTGCTGGAAGAAAGGTGAGTAAACTTACCTTTTACTATTCTGACAGGGGGCCCTAAATATTGATATTAGAACTATAGTGTCAGGAATGCATGCTTCTATTCCTGACACTATAGTGTTCCTTTAAATAAAAATAATTGTGTGAGTGAGAGAATGTGAATGTTTGTGTGTGTGTCAGTGAATGTATGTGTGTGATTCTGTCTGTCAGTGTATGTCAAGCCAGTGCGTGTTTGTCAGTGTGTCAGTGTCCTCTATATGTAACTTATGTATATTATATTTTCATTTTGTGACTTTTACACTTCACATTATTAGCTCATACAATTCTCTCTACATACACAATATTCACCTTATGTCATATTTATTTTAAAAATATTCTTTACTACATTTAATCAGGGTTATTCTCTGATATGGGCTTAAATTAAATATGTGTCTTCACATTTCATTTGGCATTTAAATCCATAGAAATCTCCCGAGGCATGGGTACTTAGGATGTTTTTGTTTTGTTTTTTTTAGATTTGATGGGGTACTTCAGCGTAAATGGTTGAGAAACACTGGTCCACAACATGTGGAGTGCCAAACGTTGTCTACTCCTTACCAATGGTGTCATTGTTAGTGCTCTGGTTCATTTTCCAAGAGAATGGTGTATTATTAAATAAACATGATATGAAAGTGGTTAATGCTAAGCTGACTTCATGCTCCTGATTGCCCAGTAACTTCATACTATTTGAACAAGTTATATAAATGAGGAGGGTTTTGTGATAAGGAAAGGGAATGAGGAGGGCCAATGCAGAAAGAAAGTTTTTAGACAAGTTCAGCTTATGAATCTGTGTTTACCTTCAAGAAGAAAGTATTTTAGATATGGGGCAGGGGAATCAAGGCTGAGATGTGCAAAACATTTTCTTTCTTCAAAAAAGCTACGGTAATTATTTAGATCAAAATGCATAAAAGTTGTGTTATGGCAATGGGTGACATTTTAATGCATTTATATATTTTGTTTTTACTATTACTTTAAACACCAGGAGTACATGTATAATTGTTCAAATTATGTTTATATTGAAATGGCTTCAGAAAATTTTTAGATTTTATTTCGTTTTTTTTTTTTGCTTTTGCAGACTTGTGCTATTTTCCCTCATTAAAAATGACAGAAGTAATGCCTGACTTGCAGCCAGAAAAAGAACTACAGGTCAGCATCCACTCTAGAGCGCACAGAGATACTGTGTTCACCAGCCTGGAAGAACAGAGGAAAAATAACTTTCTCTGTGATATCACTCTAATAGTAGACAATGTGCACTTCCGGGCACACAAGGCTCTCCTTGCAGCCAGCAGTGAGTATTTTTCCATGATGTTTGCTGATGAAGGAAATGTCAGCCAGTCTATCTATGTGATGGAAGGAATGGTTGCCGAGATCTTTGGAGCATTACTGCAATTTGTCTACACTGGAAATGTCCAGGTTAGCGAAAAGAATTTGCCACAAATTGTGGCGACTGCACAGGTACTGAAAGTAGATGATTTAGTAAAGGCTTATACAGACTATAAAGAGGTCCACAAGCCTACAAAACCACATTCGGAAGCATCACTCCCATCTGTCTCAGGTGCAAGCGTATGCGGATTACCGAAACGCAAGCGAGGAAGACCAAAGAAATACATAAATGTTCAGGAGTTGGGAAGTCTGGTTGTTAATCCTGCTCTTAAGGTTTCAAAGGGCAAGGTGCAGAAAGATCAAACCTCAGAAGAAAAAGAGCCGATTGAAAGTATTCCCAATGGAGACTCTTTAAATAAGCCAGAATCCGCTCTGGCTTGTGCTGCAAAAGAAACTGACTCAACGGGGTCCACAAACCCAGAGTCTCTGAAAAGGCACAGTATGCGCACGCTTCAGAGGTCTGTCAAGTTGCGTGATTACAAACTTGCAGAAGATACAGAAAAAGGTGAAATAATAAAGCAAGAAGGAGGGAAAAGAAAACCACTAAGCTCAGGGGCTCCCTGCAAGGACTGCGGAAAAGTATTTAAATATAATCACTTCTTAGCAGTCCACAGGAGGACTCATACAGGTAGGAAAATACACAATATACTTGACCATAGTAAAATGAAATACCATTTTAACTTGTTGGATATCTAATGAAATCATAGAACCATTTATAAAGCACATTCATATTGGCTGCCAATTATATAATTTAATGGAGTTTATTCGCTAAAAACAAGATTGTAACTAACCATCTGTGACTATTGCCAAGCTGGCAGTTTTTTTACAAAATTTTGCAATTTCATTTTCAATTTGTTGTGATTTGTTCTTTTTAAGTTGTGTGTGATTGCAAGAGCATTCATTGGGTACGTATCAATGTGTATGTTGTGGGAGTTGCCATAAATTCTACCGTCTGTATATTTGTTCCTCTCATAGCTAACTGCTGAAGAGGAGGGTTCAGCTGCGACATCACTCTTAAATTTGCATATTGTGTCTTATTGCCTAGGGCTAGCCCTGCAAACTGCATACTAATGAATTTCCACTCGACAGCAGCAACTGGGCAAGTAGAAATTATGAGACCTGGTGTAAGTGTGTGTGTGTGTTTTTTTTTGTTTGTTTTTTTAAATTCATGTTCACTGTCTGGATGTTTGAATGTAGAGGTTTTTTAACCTCTTTGCAGCGTTTGTGTGCCACGCCGTCCTACAATAAGGATTTAACGCCATTAGGGCAGCATAGCATGCCTTAACAATCTGGCCCTCCCTCCAGCCTACCTTCTTACCTAGCATGCAGAATCAGATTGGGGAGCCTGCCTGGCAGGCAGTACTTCTGCAGCCAAACCAGCCGATCCGAGTCGTGATTGCAGTGGCAGCCTGTCACCATAATCACTGTTGCAATGTCTCAGCCAATGAATTCTAACATTGGTCGAGACATTGTGCTTTGCTCCTCTGTTTCCTCACTTTGAGGTGAGAGGCAGAGAGATCATTGACACTTACTGTAAAAACTGTTTTAAAAGTGTGTGTAGGGAGTGATTTAATTTTGAATTTAAAAAAATAAATAAATTTTTTTAATTTACTCTATTGTACTAATCAGACCCTGTGATCAGCCTGATTAGGGCATTTAGTATGTTGGTTCTATTAATACTTTATTTTAGGTTAAAGATTTGTCTTTTTTTTTACCCTTTTTGTCAGTTACAGCAGTGGGGTTTTTTTTTTGTTTTTGTTTTTTTGGTAAGCTTCCCTGCTGTCTGATCACTGCTCTGTATCTGTACTGTATCCGTGATCAGAGCACTCTCTGATCAAGATGACATCCTGTTATTTCTATTTCTAAATAAACATTTTAGTCCTGGTTGAAGCTGTTTGATCTGCGATTAGTCATTTAATTTAAAAATTTTGGGTTGGTTGTACGGTTTTCTGTGGGTGGATGTGAGGTAGTGGAGTGGGTATTAGGCAGGTAAGTGAATTAATTAAAATGCTATTATACGGTGGAGAAGGCATACGTCATTCTTGCAAACTCAGTCAGTGGCACTCTCCCAGACAGTGATACTATGACAGACTCTGACATTGAGCCCTTAAGCATGTCTTCCAGGGATGGTGTCCCACCACCACCTACATGAAGGTGCTTAAGATGCCCTGCAGTGGCAGATGAAAGCTGGGTACTCTCAAATTTTACTACTCTGGAATTACCCCCATTCATAGCTACACCTGACCTCACAACAGTGTATGTTTGTGAGCCTGTGAACTACTTAAGGGTATTTATGTCGGATGACATATTTGAACTGATGGCTGAGCAAAGTAGCCTGTATGCCAGACAGTATCTGGGGGTCACACTACAACAGAAAAAACATGGGTCACCCCACTGATGTCACAGAAATGAAACACTTTGGGCATTGACTCTAGCAATAGGTATTGTGAAAAAGCCAAGTATCAGGTCCTACTGGCTCAATACAACTTGGCTACCCCTCTTGTCCCAGGAGTTATGAGGAGTGATCTCTACGAGTAAATGCTGCGATGTTCACAATGGCGCACTGTTTCCCCAGAGAAACCACCCATCATTGGCATGCGCTACAAAATTCGTCCCCTTGTCCAACTCCTGTCTAACAAATGTTTCCAAAATTATATCCCAGACCAAAACATTTGTATTGATGAAACCCTTATGAAATTTAAAGATAGACTGCTTTTCAAACATTATATCCCATCGAAGCGGTAACAATGTGATATTGATTTCTATAAGTTTTTGCAAATTCACTACTTGCTATACATGGGCTTTTTGGATTTATCAAGTGAAGGATAGACCTCTTAACCCACCAGGATGCTCTGATTCTGTGGGCACAAATGGCATGATTCTGTAATATCAGATTCAGCACCAGAATTCCATGTGACTGCTGTACTCTTGCGCCTGTGCGAGATTTCAGCATTTAGGTCTATAATGGATCCAGCGAGAACGCGGGTTCCTCCATAGATAGAGCTAATGTGAATAAGCATGAGTATTTAGCAAGCATAGGATTTGGTTTAACTTGTTCCTTTGGGATTCTAATTTTTATATTCCTTCTTACTGTAATGCACTTGTGAAGTTGTTGGTGTTTTTAAATAATCATTTACTAATAGTGGCATTTATCTACATAGAATGAATTATAGTACAAAACTTTCTATTCTGTTTAAGTTGTTTTTCCATCTTTCTTCTCTAGGGGAACGTCCCTTTAAATGTATGGACTGTGGTAAGTGTTTTACACAGAAGCATTCACTCCAAGTCCATGAGAGAATACACACAGGAGAGCGACCCTACACCTGTACTGTCTGCAGTAAAGCACTGACCACCAAGAATTCACTCATGGAGCACATGAACCTGCATGAAGGTAACTACATCAAACTAGTGTAAAGGGAACCCACTGATGTCACATTGCTGACTCTTGGTCTGTTTTGTATCTGCGACATCTTGTTTTGTTTTTTTATTTTGGGACTGCTTCTATTTAACATATTTATAAATGATCTTGAAATAGGCGCTGAAAGCCATGTATCCTTGTTTGCAGATGACACAAAACTTTGTAAAGTAATAAAATGTGAGTAAGATATTGCTTTGCTGCCGAGGGATTTGGATAGATTGGGCACTAAAATGGTAGATGAAATTTAACGTAGAGAAATGCAAAGTTATGCACTTCGGGGTTAAGAATTTACACCCTAAATGGTAGTGAACTAGGGATAACCACACACGAGAAGGATTTGGGAATTGTTATAGACAACAAATTAGGCAGCAATATGCAATGTCAATCTGCAGCTGCTAAAGCCAGTAAGGTTTTGTCATGTATAAATAGGGGCATAAATTCTCGGGATGAAAATATCATTTTGTCTCTTTATAAATCGCTGGTAAGACCACACCTTGAATATGCTGTGCAATTTGGGAACCTGTTCTAAAGAAATCTAAATATTATGGCACTAGAAAAAGTCCAGAGACGAGCTACAAAATTGATAAAAGGAATGGAGCATTTTACTTATGAAGAAAGGTTAAAATATTTTAATCTGTTTAGTTTGGAAAAACTGTGCCTCAGAGGGGATATGATAACATTATACAAATATATTCGGGGCCAGTACAAACCTTTATCTGGAAATCTATTCATAAACAGGGCTGTGCATAGGACACGCGGTCACACATTTAGGCTGGAAGAAAGGAGATTTCATCTAAGGCAAAGAAAAGGATTTTTTTACAATAAGAGCAATAAGTATGTGGAATTATCTGCCTGAAGATGTGGTTTTGTCAGAGTCTATACAGATGTTTAAACTGCAATTGGATAAATACTTGCAAAAACATAACATACAGGGATATAATTTCTAAATCAGTGGGGTAATAGCTGCTTGATCCAAGGAGACATCTGACTGCTATTTTGGGGTCAAGAAGGAATTTTTTCCTAGTTTGTTGCAAAATTGGAAGCGCTACAGACTGGGTGTTTTGCCTTCTTTTGGATCAACAGCAAAAACATATGAGGAAGGCTGAACTTGATGGACGCAAGTCTCTTTTCAGCTATGTAATAGGTAGAAATGGTACCACATGCATCCTGCCTCTTTCAGATTCACATATCATATGTACTTGTTCTTATGTGTGTTAAGAAATATTGGGAGGAACACATTTCCAAACACAGAGTCCCAGCCGCCAATGGCATAATTTATAATTACCATCGTATTAGAATTTTGTTAACTAACAAAAGCCTACAACAGGCAGCTGGAATCCACTTCCCACAGCAACACATGCTAGCATCACAATTTTGTCTCTGTATACTCTAGCCAAAATGAATTTCTTTGATTACTCTTTTCAGCCCTGTTGTAAAATGGCCTTGTTCTAGCCAGATTTAGTATTTTGCGTTCACTGCATTTAAACACCAATATAGATATTATTGTGTGAGTTACACCTACAGATTCTATGATATATTCGGAAATCGCTTTATTTAGCAACAAAAAATCACAAGTACTAAAAAAAAAGCCACCATGCAAAATGCTGACATTTTTCATATTCTATATGGTAAGCAGTATGGTAGTCAATATTTTATAATCATTTCAAACATAGACATTATGTTTTAACACTTAACATGCTTCCCAGAATAGCTAAATTGTGATTCCTTGCACATACATGCCATTAACAAAAATTAGCAATTGAAAATTGGAAGAATGAATATATATATATATATATATATATATATATATATATATATATATATATATTTTTTTTAACTATCTTGTAATTTATGCAGAAAATGCATTGGAATATAATGGGGATTGACCGATTATCGGTTTTGCCGATATTCCGGGTTTTTGTAAATATCGATATCGGCCTATAATCTTTCTGATAATGAGGTTATCCAGTGCGCAACCAATCTGTCCTCTTTCAAAGTCTTGCGATTCACCAGGCCCTGGCTGTCAAAGCGTTCCCGCTGGTTACCGTGGCAAAACCAGGCGCGCGAATCGGGAGACTTTTTTAGAGCGCTTGTTGAGAAGGCCCTTAAGGTGCTCCCCGTTACTGGATTGTGCCCAGCATTCATGAGGTGTGGGGGATTTACCATCTCCCTGTCTGCAGTCTCTGTGTCTGTGAGGGAGTGCTCACTGGAGGATCAAGAAGACACAACAGGTGAAGCCATGACCGGGAACTGCAAAAAGGTAGTACTGACACAAGCTAGAAGTTGTTAAGCATGCTAATAACTTAATATGCCCTTAGGGTACAGGATTTTACCACACAGTGGATGATAAAAGCTCACAAGATATAAAAAGGTTATGACTCACTTTAAAAGTCTTTAAGCTATTTGAGCCCCCCTCTAAAAGAAAAGCCCTCACAAAACAAACTAGACCACCAGACACAGGTAGAATTAATTGTTTATTTCTTTCAAAATGGTAAATTTACAGAATATCGGTATCGGCTCTAAAAAATCAATATCGGTCAATAGAATATAATAACCATATTTTACACTCTTTAATCTGTACACTATGTGTTATACCTCTTGCCGTTTAAATTTAAAGACTTGGAAAAAGAAATAAAGAGTAAGCACAACACTAATAGTAATACGTTTTGCAGTATACAAGTCCCAAAATTCCACAGTTCACCATCCCTTAAAGGACCACTATAGGCACCCAGACCACTTCAGCTTAATGAAGTGGTCTGGGTGCCAGGTCCATATAGGATTAACCCTAAACTGCTATGTTTACAAATGGGTTAATCCAGCCTCTAGTGGCTGTCTCATTGACAGGCGCTAGAGGTGCTTCCGCGCTTCTCGCTGTGATTTTCACAGTGAGAAGACGCCAGCATCCATAGGAAAGCATTGAGAATGCATGCGCATTCAGCCAATGACGTCGGCAGGAGGAGGAGAGTCCCCAGCGCCGAGGGAGCCCCGCGCTGGAGAAAGGTGAGTGTTTAACCCCCTTCCTCCCCCTTCAGCTCCGTGGGAGTGGGACCCTGAGGGTGGGGGCACCCTCAGGGCACTATAGTGCCAGGAAAACGAGTTTGTTTTCCTGGCACTATAGTGGTCCTTTAATAACCAAACAGTCAAAGCTAACTTATTTATATTCTTTATTTTCTTCTTTTTTTTTTTTTTTTAATTCTTTATTTTAATTGTGCATGAATATGACAATCAGGCTTGCCGTGCCACAACAGCTTGGGCAAACAGATTAAGACATTAATATACAGATGAATGGCACGTGATATTACTGCACATTTTTGTTGAAATTACTACATTGCAGAACAAGAAAAAACAGTCTAGGCCTACAGTCGCTAGAATATGTGGTGTAATTATAATGTGCTCAGCTATGCCCTGTTGTTAGTCCACACTGACTGTAATATAAGTGTATTGTGGTTTTGAGGTGGGTGGTCCAATGTGTAAGTGAGCAGGCTATCCGTCTTGTCTCTTAGATAGGTTGGATTTAGTTTGTTCACCGTGCGTTTCGCGGTGCGTTCCTAGCCCTATCATGTGGAGTTAAGGATACATATTTGGTATACCACTGAGGCACAATATATAAGTATGTGGCAGGGGGGCAGGGAGTTAGCTAGCTAGTTAATTATCCCAGGGTACGGGTGTTCTACTGGGCCAGTACTCCAGCAGGTAGGTTGTCACAGCTTTTGAGTGTGTCGCCTAGAGAGTAGCCCTCTTTGTGTGCTGTGATAGCAGCGTTGTGTTATAGGTGTTTGGGTGTAGTGGCGATCTGGCTTTGTGGCTCCATCATGATGGGCTAGATCCTTCGTATACCGGGGTGGGCCGAGATTGAGGTAACTGTTGGAGTGCTTGGGTGTCTGGTGCGCCCGAGAATATGGGGGGATGCTTGGTGAGGCTTCATGCTGGTTCGTATGCTGTGACTATAGGTAGCGCTGTGGAGGGGGGTGTGCTGCTTGGATTTGGAAGCTGGTTCATCATTCCCGAATGGGTAGAGTGGCTAGGGAATTGCTCTAGGGCCCCTGAGTTGGTGGGAGGGGGGTAGTCGGGTTGTGTGTCTTGCAAGAAGTGGTGTGGAGACATCAGTAGTTTATAGTAGCCTGATGGCTTTGACTAAATATGCCTAAATAAAATTTTTACTTTGACTATGCCAACATTAAGAGTTATGATCGCCTGCCAGTCCTTCGGCACTTCCCTCTACTTGAGGGGTATGTTGAGCCCGGGTCCAGTTGGGGCTTCTGATCCTGTGTCGCCTTCGTTGCAAGGTACAAAGGGGAATATGTTGGATATGTCCCAGGAATGTCCAGGTTTGGCAGTGTCGTGCTTGTGCCGGTTGAGCCCCAGGCTGTGGAGGAATGGGTCGGAGTCAGCAGCTGAGGTGAGTCGGCGGGTGGTCTCACCCTGTGTGGCCACGAGTGTGTGGGAAGGGCCCCATCTGTACTGGACGCCTGCTTCTCGGAGGGTCTTGGTGACCTGGCTGATAGAACGTCTCCACTCCAACGTTGCCCTACAGAGATCCTGGAGAAAGGTTAGTTGGGAGCCCTCAAATTTGAGAGGGCTCTTGTTCTTGATGGCGTCCATCATTGCTTGTTTGTCGCGTAGGGACTGGAACCTCAGGAGGACATCGCGGGGAGCGTCCGCCGGAGCCCTTGGGGAGTCTGAGTATTCAATCTAGTTGCAGGTTCTTCGCCTGTTTGGGGTGCAGGATCTCCAACAGGAGGCGCCTAATAAAGTGGGGTAGCTCCGTGTCGTTGACAGTTTCCGTGATGCCTCTTACTTTTATGTTGATTCGTCTCCTGGAGTCTTCCATCGCATCGATTCTGGCCTGCAGGGCCTGGTGTGAGCCTTGGAGTTGTTGTAGTCGCTCTGTTGCGTCTGTCTGGCGTTGTGCCATGGAGGTGATGTCCTCCTCTGTGGCCCTCACCCTGTCCGTCACGGCTGTTACCTCCTCACGGAGCAGCGCAATATCCGTGCGGAACCATGTGCGCAGGTGTTTCAGAAGGCCCAGGATGTCTCCCTTTGTTGCGGGTGCCCCCAGGTCCCCTAGTTGCACGGCGGAGAAAGGGTCATCTGCCTCAGGTATGGCATCTGGGGAGTCCAGTGGGTCTTCGTCCGAGGATAGGCCTGGGGAGTCTGGCGCTGCTGCCATTTTGGTTTTAGGCCTCGCCAGGAATATGTCTCCTATTCGACGCGTGCCGTCGTCTGAGGATGCTTTCAGCTTTTTTGATCGTTTCCCCATATTGTTGTGCAGGGGGATGCTTAGTTTTCGACCAGTGCACCGTCTATTTTATAGTCGTTTGCTAGGTTATTGCCACTTTCAGCTCGGAGCTCAGCCAACATGCGACTTCTCTCCATGAAGGTCAGGCCCCGCCCTCTATATTCTTTATTTTCAGTGGGTTTCTCACCATTTTTTAGGGGACTTGAATATAAAATCCAATGTCCACACTAATCCACCACAGTACTGATTTCGACATTATTCTGCTGAAATGAACTCCCAGTACTCCACTGTTCATCTGATAACCTATTAAAACAAAGTATCTAATTGCGCAGTATACCTTCTGTATTGTGAACAACAAGACTTCTTTCAGTTCCCCAATGTGTAGATATAACTCTAATCTATTATATAAAAATTTATATAAACTACATTTACCTCTTCTGTTTATCTGTAGGGTTGAGACTTGCAATGCAACCAGTTATGTTTAAACTTGGTATCCTACACCTCACCACAAGTAATCAATAATGCTTACCTTAGCATGGCACATTCACTCTGTCCCACAGTGTCAATCGCATATAAGAAGTCCAATTTGATTCTCTTACTTTCGTCTTCTTTTATCAACTCCAGTCAATTAAAATAATAGACAATTTAAATAATAATAAATGTCCAGTGCTCTTACTTCTTGTGTCCGTTTCTCCAATATCTGGGGCTGCCCTTCCCATCCACTAGTGATTAGTTAGCTCATCCAGAAACGGGCAGTCACATCCACTTCTTCTTTTGCCCTATTGTAAGCTTTCTCAGAATCATTCTGGTGCCAGTTTCTCGGCCATTTTATATATACCATTTTTTTTACTTGGTCAAAGTTAAAATTCCATATAATTCCAAACAATGCGTTATAGAAACTACAACCTTCAAAATCCAGCTACAAAATAATAGAATTCATACAGAAGCACATTATAATACCAGCTTATTCAAAGTCCCTTAAATCGTATGATTTTATAAATATAAATTTCATTACATCTTTAAATCATGCTATACATGATTGTTACTTGTGAATACAGTGTTATCAGGTAATCCTATCTGCCATTGAGGTGACTCTCTTTCAAATCCATGTCCACTAACGACATGTTATTGCTTATATGGGGTACTGTGCACCATAACGGTCACCTAGTAGACGGGTAATTTGAATCTCTAATGCAATCAGCTGTTATCTTGAGGGGCATAAGATCCTCATTTGAAAGACCATAATACTCTGAGAGGTGGTCAGTGATCACCTGCATCCTACGGGGTCAGAAGACCCCCATTTGGAAGAGCAGATTTGAAAGTAGTACCTTGTCCCTTTAGATTAAACATATGAAGAAATAGACAAAAGTAGTATTTCACAGTTGTTGCACACTCACGGATTTTGTGGTAATAATCATCTACTTCTAGGAGCCAAATTCCGACCTTTGAAACAAGGGCTGTGTTGACCATAGATAGTTACAGGGATCATCTGAAACCCAGAACAGCATGAAATGTAACGTCATCTGCATTTCAGAAACCTTGTGAATGACAACACAGAAGTGTCATCAGTGATGCTTTTAAATAACAGATTGTTATGACAGAATATTTAGTTATGAGTCCTTAAAGGGTTACTTCAATCACTATGACCACTTCAGTGCTTTGAAGTGGTCATGGTGCTTGGAGTCTGTATTTGCTGTGTCAGTAAGAAATTATGCACATATGAAGTTATTTAGGCTAGCTGTTGGAGGTGTAACTCCACATCTGACAGCGTATTTAGTCAGCCCACAATGAGTTTTGAGCTGGTAATGTCAATTTTGTGTTTATTCCTTGCACCGTGGGTCATCCATTGGCTCAGAGCGCTCAGCTGATGTTCTCAACCAGTGAATGACCAGTGGTATCTGTATCTGGCTTTTGCACCGGGTATGTGAGGCAGCTCAGCGCCTGGCAGAACTCAAGTAAGAGGACAAAACAGGTGTTTATATTGGTTATAATGGGGCAAGCTTTTAAGGGTTAATAGTAGAGGAAAGTACTAAATTTTAATACAATAAAGACATTACAATATTGCAATTAATTTCCTAGGCTTCACAAACCACAAATGTTGAACAGTCCTGTTGTATCTGCATGTTATATTTTACTAACCTGTCCTCATTTCAACAGGAAAGAAGGCATTTACATGCGACCAGTGTGGAAAGTATTTTAGCCAAAAGAGACAGCTCAAAAGTCATTATCGTCTTCATACTGGTAAGTTTAGACTTCTGTATCAGACTCCCCATAAGGAATAATTACCAGATTTTACTAATTTCATGACGTTAAGTCATGATTTTATTAAGGACACGGAGGCGAGTATTATGCTTATTCTCTTTCTTTTATTCCTCAGCAGCAAAAAATTTATTTTAGAGAAACAAATCAAACATGTAAACATGCCCCAAAGGGTTAATCCTATAACAATACAACCAATCATAATGCCTTCAGCACCATCAACTCCCCATGTGACCTTAAGCCACTCCTCTTTCTTGGTGTTGTCGACGAAGAATCCACAGCAACATGTCAACTTGAAGGAAAAAACTAAATGCCAAGACCGCCACAATGAAAAATCAGGTACTCTTCAGAAGCTGGGATCTTCCCGTAGGTCCTGAAGGAATCCGTGCACAACGGTGCCAAACCCGTTCATGAAGCTGAAAGGAACAGAGAAACAAACTGGTAAAATATGTTTCTGGACCTTTGAACAGTACCATATTACAGAATTAATCATCGGTATATATGCCACCAGTAACAGATTATCATCTAACCAAAACCTTTCAATACATGCAGTGTGCTGTAGTAACCTAAATCCGTAGCAACTTAATGACCACATATCCATGGGAGGGCACCACTTACCTGCATCGGGTGGGATAATACTCGCATCCTTGTCCTTAATAAAATCATGACCTTACGTCATGAAATTAGTAAAATCTGGTAATTTTATTTAAGGACACGGAGGCTCATATTATGCTAGTTCAAAGCTGTGACACGACCACATCTGAGAAACTGGCCGAAAATAAAACTCCTTGAAGGTAGATTTGCGGGACCAATCAGCCGCCCAGAGTAGGTCCTCCAACCTGCATCCTTTGGAGAAAGCCTTAGTCGCCATGGCTCCCCTGACCGAAGTGTCGATGCCCGCTGATTTCATAATCCATTTGACCCAACGAGACAATGTGACTGTTGAAACAGGGTGATATGGATGACGAAGGGCCAGGAATAACTCTGGATATGCAGGGTCACGAGTCGAAAAAGTCCTGGACTTGTATTCCTTGAGACATGCCACTGGGCATAGCTTAGAGTTATGTGGAAAGGCCAGGTAGAAAACTGAGGTGATTGACATCTTCATACGCCTGGAAATATTAAACGAGACACCTTCGGGGGTGAATGAACGTGCAGAGAAGTCCAACGCACGCACATCAGACACCCGTTTACAGAAGATCAAACAAAACAACATCGCCAACTTTGCTGTGAGTTGTTTCAGTGAGAGATCTTCGTTTCTTGGCCAGTCTCCCAGAAGCTGGAGGACAAGGTCAACATCCCATGATGAAGAGTACCTAAGTTGCGGTGGACGTGCAAATCTAATGCCGTGCAGGAGTCGGCATACGAGGACATGTTTACCTGCCGGGGCACCATCCAACTCTTGGTGTCCTGCGGAAATAGCCGATCGGTATACATTTATCGTGCGATAGGCTAGGCCATGGTCAAACAGAGAAGTGAGAAATCTCAAAATGTGACTTATAGGTGCCGATAAGGGATCCATGTGTTGTTCCATGCACCAACCACTCCATGAATTCCAGGCATGTAAGTAGGATTTCCTTGTTCCTGGAGCCCAAGCTCCCGCCAGAATCAATAGTTGTTTGTGGAACGTCTGGGATGAATCCAAGTCCCCGAAGAGGAGCCATGCCAGTAACTGGAGGTGTCCCCGTAATAGTAGGGAGTGCGGTTCCCCGTTGGGGTCCAACAAGAGGTCCGGAGAGGTTGGAATCAGTCTTGGGTAGTCCATGGACATCTCCATGAGTGTAGGGAACCATGGTTGAGCCGTCCAGAATGGGGCAATGAGAATCATGGAGGTTCGGTAGCGCCTGAGATGTAGAAGCGTCCTCACAATCAATGAGAAAGGAGGAAAAGCGTACATTCGCGTGTCCGGCCACTGTTGACGGAAGGCATCTGAATCCAACGCCTCTGGATCCGGTCTCCAACTGAAGAACCTCGGTAGTTCGAGGCAATTGATGTGTAACTCCTGTTCGTCTGGGGACCATTTCCATCCGGTGGAGATAGGACCGCAATGCGCGCCCCAGCCCAGCAGACTTGCCTCCGATTCCACGACAAAGTCTGGCCTCGTCCCAAAGATTGCTCTTCCGTTCCATGCTTCCATGTGCTGCAGCCACCAAGAGAGTTCTTCTTTGGCTGCGCAATCGAGAGGTACAGAGTCTGAATAGGAGAGACCTGAGCGAAGGTATTTTGCCTTTAGGCGTTGAAGGGCCCTGTAGTGGGCCCAGGAAAATGGCCTGGATGGAGGCAGAGAGAAGGCCGATGATCCTGGCCAGTTGTCGTAGTGTTAGTGCAGGTCGAGCCAATGTCCGGCGGATTTCTTTCTTGACGATCCTGACTTTGGAAGATGGTAACAGGAGTGTCCCTTCCACCGAATCGATGGTGAAGCCCAGAAATTCCAAGACTTGGGAGGGTTGTAACACCGACTTGTCCCAGTTGATGAGGAAACCAAGGTTGCCGAGTAATGTCTTTGTTCTTGGAGTAAGCGTGGGTCTTGTGCCATCAGAAGCATGTCGTCCAAGTATATAATCAGACGCACCCCTCTGCTGCGCAGGAGAGCGACCACTGGCCTCATGAGCTTCGTGAAGCACCATGGGGCCGAGGAGAGGCTGAAGGGCAAGCATTTGAAACGCCATGTGGTCTCCTCCCATCGGAACTGGAGGAAATGTTGGCAATCCTCGGCCATTGGGACGGTGAGGTATGCATCTTGCAGGTCGAGTTTGACCATCCAATCCTCCAATAGGAGCAGGTCTCGGTTAGAGTGGATGCCCTCCATTTTGAAATGGTGGTACACTACAAAGGCGTTCAGGGGGCGTAAGTTGATGACCGGATGGACACCTCCGCCTTTCTTGGGCACCACGAAAAAGGTTGCTTAGAAAACCTGAAACTCCTGGATGCGTCTCTATGATTGCACCTTTGTCGGCCAGAGACTGTATCTCCACTGCGGTTAATGCTCTGTTGTGGGTGGAGGAGACTATATGTCTGGGAAGAGATATCTGGGCAGGTGTTTGTACATATTCTATGGCATAACCCACTACAGTTTGTAGGACCCAAGTATCCAAAGTCAACATTCGCCAGGCATCTATAAAGTGGCATAACCTGCCCCCCACCAACGTTACTGAAGGTAGTGATGAAGGAAGTGAACTTACCATAAGGAAGCGCTTCTGGATCCACGAGTCTGCCAGGGTCTTCCTCGAACTGGGAAGAATGCAGAGGACTTGGGTTCCGCACCCTGGTAACGTGACTGGAAGGAGCCTCTAGAAACCCGGTACAAGCCCCAGGAGGAACGGCCGGGCAGACGGCCCCACCAAAAACTCCATGGGAGAATACCTTTTTCATATTGGCTTGCGCCTTGTCCAGAGCAGTAAATGTGCCCACATAGGTACCCAGCTCCTTCACAAAACTGTCACCAAAAAGTAGGCTTTTGGCCTGTGGCCCAGGCTCAGTGATAGCCAAGGTAACCAGCTTTGGCTCGATCTTAATTAATATAGCCTTTCGTCTCTCAGTGGCTAGAGCCACGTTGGCATTTCCGAGAAGATGTGGCTCGCTGTATCCAGCCCCTGATAGCTAGAAGGTCTACGCCAATGCCGTTTTGACCATGTCAAATATCTTTGCACTGGGTCCGAGGACATCCAGGACCTTATCCTGGCAATGGCGAAGTGCAAAGTCTAGACCCTTCTTTGCCTTCCACCCAGTTTTTCCCAGGAACTGGGCAATCTTAGGGTCCACTACAGGGGCGATACATATCAAATCTGGGAGCGTGGGGCGTGGGCATTCTGCTTGCATCTTACTTCTTGCCACCTTATCAAGGGGTTTCCTGATCCGTGCAGCAATATATTTTGCCACATGGTCCAGCGGGAACCACTCAGTTGATCTTGGGTGTTGCAGACTATCAGGGTCAAACAGTGGTTCGCCCTGTGGGTCAAGGAGGGTGGTGACTTCCACACCGTCCTTGTCCTCATTCCCAGACATAGATATAGAGCTGTGGTCAGCTGTAGTGTGCCCAAATTGTATGAGTCCTCATCATCAGACTCGCTCCATGCCTCCTCCTGTTCCGAATCTGACTCGGATGATTCCACTTGGGCTTTTGCCCTTTTCCAACTCCTCACCGATTTTGCCCGGTGGGTGGCTCCTTCGTTGTGGTGCAACCACATTATCTTTGACAGGACTTTCCCTGTCTGTCCGTAAAGTTTTGGAGGCTTCCTCGTCTATGTGGCGAGATTTTTTGGCGGCTTTGCGCCCACTGGCCTTGCCTGTATTGTGCTCCGTAGGGTTAGGAGCAATGTGAGTAGAGGTCCGCTGGGAGGCCATGAGGGCATGGCTAATAGAGTGGGACAGAGTGTCCGACTTAACTCCCATGGCTGAATAAACGGCTTGGGTTACGGATTTCGTCATAGTGGCATCCAGGAGAGAATGAAGCTCTTCCGAGTTCAAATGCTCCTGGTCTGTCACATCTGTGACAGTTAAGCCAGAAGGTCTGGGGACAACCTGGGGAGCAGGGGGTATATTATCCCTAATGGGAGAATCGCCAGAGGCTATACCCAAATCCCTAAGAGACTGCATAATTAAATAGCACTTCTCACGGTGGTTGTGGTAGGTGAAAATATAAATTGGTATACAAAGAAAAAAAGGGGGGGGGGGACCCAGGTAACTAGTGGAGTAATGAGTGACCACACTGATAATAGGCAATCTGGGTATTAATAATGCACCAGCAGTATGGGTACAATATACCAAAGGTACCAGAAAAAAAACTATACAGCAATATGAAAAAGGCAAGCTCACCAAGTGTTCCCTCAGGAATGGCTCCTGGGGACACTGGTGAGCTGCCCAGCAACTGTGCTGTCCAATCAGCACTCACCCCCACCAGCTCCAAAAACGCCAACCACAAGATGGCCGCCGCGATGCGCACTAGCGTTGTGCGCATGCGCGAACTGCGCCATCCGCGGTTATAGCCACGGACCGGGGAGCTCAGAGGAAAACCTCTGAGGCACTAAACTAGACTGGGCGGTAAGAGCCTCCACACGGAGAGCTGCTAGCCGCCCTAGCTCAGTAGGTGATAATCCACCTGACTGAGTAAGAGATGGGAGGGTGGAGGTAGGGTTGAGGGATTGGCTCTAGGTTAGGAACAACCAATAGCCAGCTGGAAAACAAAGTGCAGAAGCAGGGCAGAAGCCCTGCAGCACACAGAAATAAACAAATGAAAATTCAAATGCAACATCAAAAAACAATAAATATGACAAACACATTGGTAGCATACAGAGAAAATATAAATGTACTTAGCTGAGGAAGGCAGCAGCAAGAAAGAGGAGTGGCCTAAGGTCACATGGGGAGTTGATGGTGCTGAAGGCATTATGAGTGGTTGTATTGTAATAGGATTAACCCTTTGGGGTATGTTTATATGTTTGATTTGTTTCTCTAAAATAAATGTTGTGCTGCTGAGGAATAAAAGAAAGAGAATAAGCATAATATGAGCCTCCGTGTCCTTAAATAAAATCAGTGCTTACCAGCCTTTAACTATAAGATAGGGCACAATTTACCGTGAACCTCTTCAATTTCGAATGTATGTGGCATTTCTTTAAAAAGGAAAAAAAAGGATTTGACCGATTCCAAAAAGAGTCTTTGAGACGGTGGAGCTCGATATGTTATTCTGGATACTTTGTTTTGTGTGCAGCACTCTTTGAAAATCAGTCTGACTTTGTTAGTCTGTGGCTGCTAATCAGGTGTGTCAACCCACCCTGTATTTCTTTGTGTCTCATATTGTGTTCCAAAATTACAGATCCCCTCCAATAAGATATCTAGAGATATATAATGTTAGGATTGCCACAACTTTACTTGAATTAGGATCACCTTTAATTAAAATAAAAAATGTAAAAAATAATATATATATATATATATATATATATATATATATATATATATAAATAGCGAAGGCTTGCACTCCTGGTGTAATCCTGTGGTGCCCGGTGCTGGTCTGGCAAGGATCATGTAGACATAGCAGAAATGACCGCACTCCAAGGACTTTATAGAGATTTTCAAATAAAATTTAGCTTTTATTCAATCCATTCATAAAAACATGTTTTGTCCTGATGAAAGCTCCATGTGGGAGCTGAAACGTTGACTTTTTAAATGGATTGAATAAAAGCTAAATTTTATTTGAAAATCTCTATAAAGTCCTTGGAGTGCGGTCATTTCTGCTATGTCTATATATATATATATATATATATATATATATATATATATGTATATGTACATGTGTAACATTATTAAACAACAAAGCCTTAAAGTATACATTTTTCAATAGTGTCACTAATAATCTTGATCAAGCAACCCTAAAAAACTTACTAAAATGGGTGTAAATATATAAACACTATCTGTCCCTAAACAGTTCAAGTTTGTTATAGTATTCATTTTAATAGAAAAAAAACTTTTTTAAACTAGTCAGGTTTTTTTTTTGGTTTTTTTATACTCTAAACTAAAACAATATCTTCCCAATTAAATCTAAATAAAACTTGTTTGTTTATTTTTTTTCCCTCTCCTCAAATGATATGAAGGTCGCATATTACCAGAATGCAGTATATGTCAGCACAAGTTTATGGATGGTGCCCAGTTAAAGAAACATCTGCGATCTCATACAGGTAATGTTGTTTTCAGACATTATTTTTGTGCACTATATCTGTATCCGTTAGAGTTGATATATGCATGACACATGTGAGTGTTGTCTTGAAACCAGATTAGTCCGGGAAGGAGGCAAAAAGGGCTACCTATCAAATTTTTTTTATTTTTTTTTTCCCTTTCTATTATTCTCTATTACAGTGCTATCAAATCAGAATCAAATACAGATGCTGTTTGACTTGCAGACCCGTTGAAAATTTATCCAATAACAAGCTTCTTAATCTGGAGGAAATAGTGGTTGAAAGTACACTAAATTCGATTAATTGCTAAAATCCTATTAAATCAAGTACAACCTTGCCAGATAATCAAAACTGTAACAAGCTGAAAAGCAACAATGTTGCAAGCAGTGTGTCTGAATCCACAGGCAAGGGGAACCTTAACCCCTTAAGGACCAAACTTCTGGAATAAAAGGGAATCATGACATGTCACACATGTGGTGTCCTTAAAGGGTTAAAGGACCACTATAGTCACCCAGACCACTTCAGCTCAATGAAGTGGTCTGGGTGCCAGGTCCCCCAGGTTTCAACCCTTCAGATGTAAACATAGCTGTTTCAGGGAAACGGCTATGTTTACATTGCAGGGTTAATCCAACCCCTAGTGGCTGTCTTCCTGACAGCTGCTAGAGGCGCTTCTGCGATGCTGAATGCGAAAATCGCATCCAGCGTGCAGAACGTCCATAGGAAAGCATTGAGAAATGCTTTCCTATGGACTGTTTGAATGCGCACGCGGCTCTTGCACTCTTCCACTTGGGAGCTGACGTCGGCGAGGGAGCCCAGCGCTGGATTAAAAGTAAGTAACTGAAGGGGTTTTAACCCCTTCAATGCCAAGGGAGGGTACCCTGAGGGTGGGGGTGGTCCTAAGGATGATCTAGTGTCAGGAAAACGAGTTTGTTTTCCTGACACTATAGTGATCCTTTAACTAAGAAGTGCTTTAAAAAACAAACACAAAAAAAAACAAGATACCTGATACAAGGAAAGTATGCTGAAATCTCTAAACCAATCAAATAAAGATGTTCTAGGAACGGCACTGTCGCTGAAGCTCTATTCTGTGCCTTCCAGGGCACCTGGACATTTTGTGTGCGCTAAGGCTTGCTGTATATCTATGAGAGCAACAGTACCGTAAGTGTAATGAGAATGGCTGTAAAAACTCTATTCTGTGCCTTCGAGGACACCTGGGCTTAAAATAAGCCAAAGCTAACTATCTAAGAGAGCAGTAGTTCCATGGTCTCTGTAGGATGTACCTGGACTTGTAAATCGGGAGAAAAAGGAAGATCTCTTCTTGTAACCGAACAGATGTGTGAGTAGCGCCAGTCACGGACAAGTCACTGAGTCCAAGGTTTCATGGAGGCCCGACGCGGGTCTAAAAGACCATTATTATGCTTTCTTTAAATTAAACTGAATCCGTCATGAAAAGAAAAAAGAGCTACCCCTACACTAACTTCTACTTTGTGTTGCCCCCCTTGGGTCACTGTGTAAGAAATTATGACCCTCTTACAAGGGTGTTCTTTAGGGAATGTGTGACAAATACAAGAGTATAAAAAATGTTTTGGTATTGTTTTAGGTTAGTGTTACAGATTTTAAAGGAATATACACAGTACACAGTATAAACAAACCCAATCATAATCAAAAGATGCATAGAAAAAGGGCAATACTTAAACCTTTACCCTTGCACCTTCATCTTAGGTAGTCTGGGACAGTCTCTCTCAGTTCACCATGGCACCTCTGCTTGCTGCGCTTTCATCCCCAAAAAGAAACTAAAAAGGACAACACCCAAGGAGGTCAAAGTCTGATTCTTGCAGTCCTTTAAAGGGAAACAATAGTGCCAGGAAAAAAAAAAACTTGTTTTCCTGGCACTGTAGCTTCCCATTTTGTCAAGGCCCACCTCTGTGGTGTAGAAGGGGTTAATAACCCCTTCTGTCACTTACCTGGGTCCAGCGCTGGCTCAGCTCCGCCCATGTTCCTCCCCGGCTAACATCCGCCGGCAGGGGAGACCTAATGCGCATGCATGGCAATGGCCGCGCTCGCATTATGATCTCCCCAATATTCAGTGCTTTCCTATGGGGATTCCAGCAACGCTGGAAGTCTTTATGCATAGTGTGAGGACGTCTAGCGTCATTAAGACGTCCAAAAGTCTGGTAGACAGCCACTAGAGGAGGACTTAACCCTGCAAGGTAATAATTGCAGTTTATAAAAACTGCAATAATTATATGCTCAGGGTTAAGGATAGTGGGAGTTGGCACCCAGACCACTTCAATGGACTGAAGTGGTCTGGGTGCCTACAATGTCCCTTTTAACTACAATTGTACTTCACTGTAGAGTCCCTGGCAGTTCACACAGCCTTTCCTGTTTTGACAGGTTTCTTTTATTGATCACATACACAGCACAGTTACAATAATATGGTAATGCAAGTATACAGGATTGGCAAAGTATCCTAAAACATTGAGGAATATTCACTATACACCAAACAGCAGATTTGTTAACCACACATCACATAGGCTAATAGTATTATCAGAGAGTTTTAGGAAAACAACAGCTAAGGGAGTTGGATGCAAGACACCACTGGACTATAGTGTAACATTGATAGAAGTTCTTTGTTTAGTCGTGTATATCATTTGCATTAATCTGACAATCTGGCATTAAGATCAGTGATATTTGTGGTTTCTTTGTTTTCACAGGTGAAAAGCCTTTTACATGTGAGATTTGTGGGAAATCATTCACAGCCAAAAGCTCTCTACAAACACACATCAGAATACACAGGTACGAATGCTTCCATTCTTCCATGCCTTCTAAGAAAGGTAAACTGAATACAACCAGTGTTTTTGGATGAGCCTACACCCAGGAATGCTTCCCCTAAATATTAATTTAATACAATTTAAATTGTAGGCCTAAATAACCTGATTGAGCAGGAAAATAACAAGTCAATGGTTTGTAACTTGGTTCTCAGCAGACCACTAGTTCCTTTTTTGTAAATATTTCCAATGTAGTATGAGAGTACATATTCGGAACATGCATGTCTGTGGCATGATAACTGACACGGCTTATAACTCTTTAAGACACTTATCAACCCCCATAACAACTTCAGCTCATTGACATTTTGAGGGCATGAGTGTCCAGGAGTCATCTTACTATCTGACACAGAATAGTGGTTATCTGCTGTTGTATGCCTGGGACATTATGCAGAGGATGTTTGCTCAGTCACGAGGCATCCAGCAATAGCCTTGTTTTGTCTCGATTGTTAAAGGAACTCTAGCCTTGATATGAGCTGAAACATGTTTTCAATGAGCTGAAACATGTATTCCTGACACTATAGTGCTGGTGTGGTTGTTTAGGTGACCAGCCCCACTCTGATTGCCTTGAAAAGGTGAATTTACACACATTTTCTCTCAGTTCGTGCTGGTCTTGCCACCTCTGGCTCTGCCTCCATGGCTGAGATCATCAATCTTGATGATCTGGACCAATCCAATGCTTTCCCTTAGGAAAGCATTGGGAGGCTACTGCTCATGTGTAGCAAAACGCTGCTCTCGGCCAGTGTTCATATCCTCATAGATATGCATTGAATGAATGCATCTCTATGTGAAACATTCAGCACCTCCATGCAGAGCGTGAAGCTGAACGTCCGTGCTGCACACTGTGCAACACTGGATTAGGAAGCACCACTAGTGGCCATTTGAGTGACTGCCACTATATGTGTTACTAGGCACCAATATAAACACTGCATTTTCAGGGAAAAGGCAAAGTCTGCAGGAACAGGCTAGAGACAAAAGAACCACTACATTACAATGCAGTTGTTCTGGTGACCATAGTGTCCCTTTAAGAACCCCTCTCTCATTGATCCCATGTCCAAGTGTTTTACATTGAAGTAAACACCAGTTTTGGTGTATAGATCATGGCACTGCAGTCTCACTGCTCAATTCTCTGCCATTGTTTGTGGACTTGTTAAATCACTTTTTTGTTTCTGTTTGTGCAGCCGTAGCCACACCTCCCCTGACTGCGACTCCGACAGCCTGCATTGAGAAAAAGAAATGGTTTCGTTTTCAATAAGATGTTAATTTGCACTAATAGTTTTTATCTACTGCTCTGTAAATTGAATTCTAATCACACACAAGCCTCCTGCAAGATTTAACAGGCTATGAACAGAAGGAGATAAGACATTCTAAATTTAAATATAATTTGCAATAAAGGAAGTTTAAACATTAGATGACTCTTTACAGGAAGTGTTTATGAAAACTGTGTGTCACATGTAGGGAGGTGGTGCTAGAGCTGCATAAATAAAGTGATTTTTATCGCCTAAATGGCAGGGAGACTGGAGGGACATGATCTGTACACCAAAACCACACCATTAAGCTAAAGTTGTTTTGGTGCCCATGGTGTCCCTTTTAATATTAAAGAACTGATTTCCAAAAACTATCCAATGGTAAAAGAAGTTGTTTTTTGTCTTTTCAGGGGAGAAAAGCCATACTCTTGCAGTATTTGTGGAAAAGCATTTTCAGATTCCAGTGCAAAGAGAAGACACAGCGTTTTACATACCGGTAAAAAACCTTTCTCCTGCCCAGACTGCAATGTGCAATTCACACGTATGGATAATCTAAAGACTCACATGAAAACCCACAGCAAAGAAAAATGTCCACAAGTTCAGGAGACAAATAACGGAGGCAGTGATGATGTAAGAAACATTCTCCAGCTGCAGCAGTATCAGCTAGCAACACCAGCACAGGAGATCCAGCTAGTGGTCACTGACGGTGTACACAATCTCGACTTCATGCCGGCACACAGCCAGGGTATCAGTATTGTCACCAGTAACCCTGCTCAGACCATTACAGAGCAGACGGCTAACCTTGCTCTAATCACCCACCAGCCTTCAGGATTGCATAGCTTATCAGTCACAGCACACCAAGAGCAAGTGGAATCAATCCACAGCGTGGACTTGATGGAGAGTCGTGTGCAGACTGTGCAACCAGAGCAGATGCATGTTATCACCCTGTCCAAAGAAGCACTTGACCAACTACAGGGCCGGACACAGGAAATCCACTTGCCCCAAGCGGACAGGCAAACCACACTGAGCCAGGAGCAGACACCTATATCTCAAGACATGGTGAACCAAAATGTCAGTGTCGCTGATCATACCCAAACTACTCTGTCATTAACTCCAGTTACCCAACCTGTGTCTGAGCATCAAATCCAAACACAGACCTTTCAGATACAGACCAGCACAGTGTCTTTCATAAACACTGCTTTGGAGTCCACAAATCAGACTTAAACTTTAGTTATGTCTTTCTGAGAAATGGTGTAGAGTAAAGAAATTGCTATTTGCATTGAATACTTGCTGAACATCACAATAATAATCTTAATGTGGAAAGACTGGGACTGGGCAATCTTTGTATGTGCCATTGGTTTTGCCAGTGTAACAGTGCCTTGCTTTCTGAGGCATAAGGAGTTAAAGTGAGACCACGCATGGTTTTGTTTGCATTTTATATATTGTATGCTTTGTTTTTGTTTTGTTTTTTTTAAATCTTGATTTTCAGTTAATTTGCAAACAAATGGTGAGACCAATTCAGAATAAATGTTCTAACAACGTGCATGATTTGTATCGCAATATACAAAATAATGAATGTAGGCAGAAAAATATGATCCATGTATGTATTTTATTTATATTTTTGTATATATATATTTTTTTTCTTATTTCAAATTCCGTTTTTCTGGCAATTTACAAACAAATAGTAAGACTAACCAGGAATAATTATTTGCACATTGTGCATGATATTGCATTTTACAAAGCTTTCCGTGTTTTTGGAGAAAATATGATGTATGCTATATACAAAATGAAATGGGCAGAGTTATTCACTAAGACCCAAACAGCCTTGGCCTGGATTCGCTTAAATAATTGGATAACATCTAGGAGTACTGAGGAAAAACCTTGACATATTTGAAAAGATTTAGTAATATCCAGATTTTTTTTAAAAATGCCTCAGAATTGCCTGCTTGTGCTGCCACTGATGACTGGTTGAATATATATCTGTGTCTGTAGGTTTGCCTGGAAATAGCAAGGTAATTTGTTGTCGCTTTGTCTGCTACCAGATTTAATAGAGTGATTCTGGTTGAAATTCAGTATGTAAATCTTATTTTCTACAGGATTTGCGTTTGAGAATTGCTGATTTTTAAAGCAGACACCGCATGGTATGAAATAATATTCCATAACCAGTTGAGCTCATTGTAGTTTCCAGGAGTGTCCTTCGAGTGTGTGTAGTCACAGTTCTTGGCCAGTTTATCAACATAACTTTGCTTCCACCTGTGCAGCCTGGAAGCTACTTGCATGAGTTAGACTGGTAGTGCAGGGAGGCACACTTTGGCTGAGAACACTCAGTTGATGCTCTCAACTAAAGAGCCAGCCTGGCACTGCAGGGCTTAGCTCAGAGGAGGCAATAGAAACTCCTAGCAGGAGCTAGAATGAGCTCCTATGAAAACATAAATGCCCAAGAAGGGAGTAACAAACGTAGAAGTAAAGAAGGAATACTGGACATCTTTTGCATCTAACAGACAATCTCTTTACGCAGCACTGTCTCTAAAAGGGACTACTTTGTATCTGTATATTTCCTATGCCTAACACTTCTAGACACTGGGCAGAGCTACTGCGGTCTAGAAATGTCAATCCACCCAATCTTCACCATCTATGGAGAATCCTGTGTTCTTGCAGGTTGCTCCATAGACCTCAATGTTGTACTCTTGCATGTTCTCTCGTGAAAGTACCGCAGTAATGTCAAGTCCTGGCGCTTTAAGAAGGCTAGCCTGTAGAAGATGGCGGTTTCCACAAGGGACAGGTTCAGGTAATTAAGTCTCACCTTTCCCGCCTAGTGACTGTCACCTTCGGAGGTCTGTGCAAATTCATCAAAGGTCCCCAGACTGTGACAGTGCAGATTTAACAGTGAAACCATTCTTATAAAGGAAATAATAGTGTATATATATATATATAAAGGAAACTGGTTGTAGATATTTTTTTTTTCTTTAGTTTGACTCTGTTTTCATAACTGTCTAATCAACATTCTGATTACTACATTTATTGAAATAATTATTATACAACATTTTTAGAGTCTGTGGTGCATCTAAGTGGCGTATGTACTTTTTTTTTTTCTCTAAGCCATTGGTTATTGTATTTATGTCTCATTTACTTTAAGGACTAATGGGAATTGGATTTCCATAACACCGTTTTACTTAGCTGGGTACAAGGTGATAATTTTTCATTTAACTTGCTGTTATAAGATCTATTAGGTGACGAGATGTGGTGCTGTTGAGAAAGCATCTTTGAATAGATACAAAATGCCCCCAGCATTCCCTTCTCTATTTCTATTTTTGTACTCCCCATTGCCCTGCCCATGTTGGTGTAACATTTGTTTGTGTTTAATAACTATTATTTTTTTTTGAAAATCAAGAAATGTAACCCTTTAAGGACCGAGGATGTACTAGGTATGTCCAACAAAAAATGGTCCTTAACGACCGTACATCCTCACATTCCTTCTTACTTACCCGATCGCTGCCGTTCCCCCGCTGGTGATCGGTGTTCCTCCCGCTCTGGGGGGACTGACGGCCCAAACCGTCCACCCTCGGCAAATTAGGCCCCCGCGGGATATATGATTGCTCTGAAAGAGCGGTCACATGGCCGCAATAGCAGTCTATATAGTACTGCCTGAACTGACAGGCAGTCTCCCTGCATCTGTAAAATAAAAAAAATAAAAAAATATTTATATGTGTATATATATCTTGTGTATATATAAAATGTCATACTAAGTTTATTTTTATATTAATATATACATATTAATATAAAAATACACTTAGAATTGTTTTTTTTTTTTACATAATTAAGTAATTTTATTGATTGCAATTTGAGGGACCTGCCTCACAACCCAGGCCGAAAGTCCAGAGAATGTAATTTGCTGGCACTGTATTTAACCCTGTAAATTTCCATGACACCATAAAACCTGTACATGGTGGGTACTGTTTTACTCGGGAGACTTTGCTGAACACAAATATTCGTGTTTCAAAACAGTAAAACATATCACAGTGATTATATTGTCAGTGAAAGTGATGTTTATTTTGTATTTTTTCACACTCAAATGGCACTTTCACTGATTGTGATACGTTTTACTGTTTTGAAACACTAATATTTGTGTTCAGCGAAGTCTCCTGAGTATAACAGTACCCCTCAAGTACAGGTTCTATAGTGTTTTTGAAAGTTACAGGGTCAAATATAAGGCTTGATTGTCCATTTTTTTTCACATTGAAATTTGCCAGATTGGTTATGTTGCCTTTGAGAGCATATGGTAGCCCAGGAATAAGAATTAACCCATGATGGCATACCATTTGCAAAAGAAGACAACCCAAGGTATTGCAAATAGAGTATGTTCAGTCTTTTTTTGTAGCCACTTGGTCACAAACACTGGATAAAGTTAGTGTTAATATTTGTTTGTGTGTGAAAAATGCAAAAAACTAATTTCAATGTGAAAAAACTGAAACGCAAGCCTTATATTTGACTCTAACTTTTTAAAACACCATAAAACCTGTACATGGTGGGTACTGTTATACGCGGGAGACTTCACTGAACACAAATATTAGTGTTTCAAAACAGTAAAACGTATCACAACAATGGTATTTTCTGCCATTTGTGTGTGAAAAAATGCAAAAAAAGTCACATTTACTAACGATATCCTCTTTGTAATAAATTTTCAAATTATTGGTCAGGAACAGAACCCATGTTTATGACATAATGTCTATGGGAAATTAGTTCTCACTTTATCAACTCTCACTTTATGATTTAGGCTTTGGCACCACTTTGTTCGTAGAGTCTAGAACTACTTGTATTGCAAATGTATCATGGCATCCATAATATGGAGTACAATTAAAGGGTTTCTCCAGCCACCATGACCATTTCAGTGATAATAAATGGTCATGGTGCCTGGAGACTGTATGCGTAGTATTTCACTGTGAAACGCTGCATGTACTGGGTTTAACAGATTTGCTGTAAAAAGGTGTAACTCCACCTCACACAGCGTCATTATGTGTCATCAGCTAGCCCAGAACAAGACTTGTTCATACGTATTTTTATTATTTATAAATTTGAACTACTGCCTATCGGTGGCACCCAATCCAAGGCTTCCTTATTAAAGACTCTGAAGAAGAAAGGAAATGCAGGTGCAGAGCTAATGGGTGCCAGACGGAAGACTTAACACATGGTTTAACCCCCTTGAGGTACAATGAATAAGATCTGGAACTGCACACGCTCAATAATGGAACATTGTTGTTGTAAATATTTGTTTATTGTAAGGTTTTTGCTTTTTGATAATATAAACATAAAATTTGGACATACAGGTCCTTTCATATTTTGGTTCAATCAGCAAGGAATGTTATGATATACTTGAGTATCAGACTTTCAGGTCTCAACACGGTATTAGGGTAAACATAACCAGCTGGCCGCGCAGGGCCTATGTAGCATATATTTGAAATCTGCAGTCATGTATCTAATTAGCATATTTATTTACTATGACCCGTAGCATTTTATCAACATTTATGACATCATAGATGCATCCCTTGACTTGGGACATAATCCCACGGATTGGGGTGATATAGCGTTTGTTGTCTGGTTAGTGATTACTTGCCTGTCTCAGTTGGTCAGGTTTCCGAAGTCTCTGTTTAGCTTTCGGGTCAGTGAGTATCACACTGATCCGAAATTATACCCTAGCATGGGGAGTCCCATATAGTGATCAGGGGAGTGCAGATTGACGGGGGAGAGAGGTAAGGATAAGAAAAAGTAGGGAACCAGGGTGGCCAGATCATGATGCTGGGAGGTTCAGAGGGGTTTTAAAGTCTCTTCGTCCGTCATTTCTGGATAATAACTAGGTGCGAAATCAGCTGTGGCAGTAGTCAATAGCCAGTGAGACCAAATCTCTAGGTATGTGTCTGAGGCATTAGCCGCACTCATATTAAGGTCCTCTACTGCCCTGAGCTCTTCCATCTGATTAAACCATATCAGTATTGAGGGAGAACCTGCTTGGCAACGTTTAGTTTTGTTATGGACATCGATTTCTTATACTTGGTCCTGGGATTTTTTATGAGGTGCAGGAGAATTGCGGGCATGCTAAAGGGAGGGGAGGTGTCTGAGAATGTAATAATGGAATATTAATCCATGGTGCCACTCAAACTGGGATGGCAACATTTCCATGTAGTAGACATCTGTCAGGGCACAGATTTCTTTTTTTTCCTCGATGCAGACTTTATTTAGACATTGAAGCTAACTGGTTTAATGTTCAGATAAAGTCTGCATAGAAGAAAACTCTTTGTGTGGCCAGACATCCTTCTGTCCTTGAGGTAAACTGACACCGGGGACCTTCTTGCATTATAACATTCCTTCCAATGGTTCCTATAATGTCCCTTTAACACATGATTATCACAGATACTTTCAGACATTGATTTATTTTACCTGAGCATATTTGTCCCTGAGTGTTTCGCATGTTCACTCGAACGTGGGTTATTGCTCTGATATATGTGTGAGATTTGAATGGTGGTATGTGCCAGATCATAGCAGTGACAGGACTCTCAGTGGATGTTGAAGCAGGAGCAAAGAAAGAAAATTGTGGTGCTCATGGAGGAGAATTTCAGGTAAATATAGCTGCACCACTTAGCATCTGCACATGGATCAAGTAGTGTTTACAATGCTAAGGCTGCAGGAACATGCTATAGACACTAGAACCACTACAGGAAGTTGTAGTGGGTCTGGTGACTATACTGTGTCTTTAAGGTGTCTCATTTTTGGTGATTGACTTTCATAAAGGTTCTGTATATACATGGTGAGAAACTTATTCCTGTTGCATGTGCTCCCTCTAGTGGCTAAATGTGAGATTTTTTTTTCTCCCCAGTTACATTTCCTTTAGGCTTATAGTGGCTCTGTTAATTTTATGGCAAGACAGGAGGCTTCATATTTGCTTTACTTCCTTTACTGTTCCTCCCAGCAGCAAAGAAACAGTTAACAGATTGAAAAAAAGAAACAACCAATCAGAACACATCTAGTCATTAATAAGTGGCTGTGAAACTCCTCCCAATTCCTCTTTCTTTGCTGCTTGCCTCCCAGGTGAGTCAATTCTGATTTCAGACCTTATAAGAATTTTTTATACATATTTAAATTTATTTACTTATGTCCATTATTTATATTGTTTTACCCCCTTTTCTCCTGGGGCCGACCTTGGTCGGCCCACAGGACCATTTGCCCTTTCTGGGGCACTCAATACCCCTTGTGAGATCCCACCGAGGGTTATTCCCCTTTTTACACCACCCACGGCGTGTTTCTTGCCGACCGCGATTTAGCTGCGGCTTTGTTTACTTTTTCCCCGCTTCTCAGCCCGTGGCTTCCCTCCACCACCCACAGCGTTTTCCTTTCCGCCGACCGCGATCTGATCGCGGCTTTGTTTATTGCCTGTCAGCTCTCACACAGCAGGGTCTCTCTGTACCTGCTTCCCGCGTTTTTTTCATCAAAGCGCAGGCTCCGCCTCTGCACTAGCCGGCGGCCATTTTCACTGTGCGGCAGTTTACCTCACTAACGGTTCTCTGCCTGTCAGTTCTCTCACAAAGTGATCTCATTCCTTTCGAATTTTAAAGGTGTATCTCCACTTCTTCTTTGCATGCCAGTTCCAAGGTAAGTACTTTTTTCTCTATCATATATACACATATTATTTGTTTTATTCTTTTATTTTATTCTAAAAATCCCCTATTTTACTTCACACAGGTTCTGTTCACAAACTTTAAAGTGTTTTTTTCCTGCCATCACCGACATCAGGCCAAACACTTTCTGCCACAAGGGTGACCCCCTTGCTAATAACAGGTGACCCCTGCTTTTTTGTGGTTACAGCGGTACCTTAAGGGCTCCGTTTGCTAACTAGCTTTCCATTAATTTGTGTCTCAGTGACATTGCAGTGGGTGACTCCACTTTTTTCTTTGCATCTTGGGCAACCCCCATTTGCTTGTTTGGGTGACCCCCAAACTTAACTATAAGGGTGACCCCCTTTTTATTCCTGGGTGACCCCCAGCTATTGTCAGGGTGACCCCCTGCCTTACAATTTTAAGTTTATTATTTTTGTGTTTCAAATTTGTTAATAATGTCTGAACAACAAGACACTGTCTCTGCTGAATTAAAATCCTGGCTTTTTTCAGCAATAGCGGAATCCATGCCCAAAGCTATTGCGGCTTACCACGAACAGGCTAAACCTGCTCCAAAGCCAACTACTGCATTAAATATTTCCGACTCAGAAGAGTCTCACGATTCTGACCATGACGGGGCTCCGCGCAAGCGTCCCTGGAAGGGCAACAGTGTCTCCGCCGGTAAGGGCAAGGCACCTGCAAAAAATGCTAGACTGTCACTTCCCTCCTCAAGCCTTCCATTATTGGATCCCTTAGAGGGTTCCACAGCACACGACCTACAGGTCGTAGACGAGTACTGTGCAGGGTACTCGGACGAAGAAGACCAGGGTAATACTAGGTATGTCAAGGAATCCTACACCAAACCATTCGTGGTTAGCCCCATGCCCACTAATCCATCACAAAATAAGGATCCTTTAACTGACATCCTGCTGGATGGTAACGGCCAACCCCTTTTTGATCCTAGAATCATCAAACACCCCCGGTCCGCTGAATGGGCACCACCTAGCCATAT